TTCAGAGGAGCAAATTATCTTTCGATCTTCTTCCAGTTTTATCATAAATTTCTCAAGTAGTTCCTTTAGTTGATAAGACTGTTTTTGTAAATTTTCCTCTCTTTGAATTAATCCTTTGATAACGGTTTCTGTTTCTGTGTTCATGACTCTTTCCTTCTCCAACGCAGTTTCGACTGTATTGATTGAAGAAATATTTTGTCCAGCACAATACGGATTTGAATGGTTAAGAGCCCGTAGAACTTTGCATTATCTAATTTGGCAAATGGAAAGTCAGCACAATTATTCCTTGGATGAACTGAATCAGCCTCTGACGGTCTCTCTCTATATCTTTTTCTGAGACTTAATACTCCTGTAACACGTACAATTCTTAGCAAAATGTCCTATTTCTGTACAGCGATAACATTTGATTTGATTAAGCAGATTCTTTGGACGATAATTTGTAGATAAATTATCCGAAAAGTCACTGTTCTCACCGGTAATATTTCCAGTCGAATTTGTAAAATTTCTTTGACACTGTTTCCTTAGTTCCGGCGGATACCACCAGTTAAATCTCGTTCTCATTTTATAATTTATTATTATTGGTAGAGCTTAGATACGAATCTTCTCAACAGTTTGTCTGACAAATGTAAAACTAAGCAAACTGTCCCGGGTATCTGCACCAATTTATAACAGAGGTTTTGGAACGACAACTGCTATAACAAATGTCCTGGGGAGTAGCTCACAGTATAAATAAGTAAAATATCAATTCGGATACCAAATGTTATATTAATTCAATTTCAAATACAACCACACTTAATGTTAAACACAGTATAAATCATACATTTAAATACACGGCAAAGTCCAGTATAAATGGTTTGTCCATTCGGGTTTCTGTATCCATATAAATTCAACGTCCGTGCCTTAGTCTGTCGGGTTCCAAACTTAAGCTCACACTTAATCATATTTGAATTATCTACTACATGTAATATTACATCATTAGCTATAAACAACAAAATTCAAAAGCACCCTAAGTGTTAAGATGCTAAACTGATCGTTAAAGTATTTAGACAATGGACAATGACAAATGGATTAAAAAGTACGTAATGCCAAAAACGGTGTAATTAGCACATAGATGTAGTTAAATTCCTTTTAAGATTAAAATGACTTACATGAAAGAAAACAGGAGAATTGTCTAAAAGATAAATGAAATAAGATAAATGAATCTAAAAGTTTCTATATTTTCATACTGGAAGTAAATCGAAAATATCACTGTCACAAATCTACGAGCGGTAATCCATTGCTGGTTCACAAGTGACACACGTCGTATTTCTCTTTAAAAAAAATGAGGTGGTGAAGTCATAATCTGTGATGAAGCATGATACCAATAACATATGATATACATATGTATGTATCACATGATTTTGTATGCAATATTGATTGGGAGAATGCGCAGTTCTTCTTTAATGTATACATATTTAGTCCCGAAAATTAATGTACTATTTCCGAGATTTAAAAAAAATGAAAAGTTAAAAGAGAAAACATTTTTGTTCAGATGAAAAGTTCCATATTTTTGTATACTGTACATGCTCTTTATGCTTAATATTCATTTTATATTGTTCACTGTTATTTCTTAAAATAAAAACAATTATTTTGAAATCATTTATAGGATTTTGTAACACACTACAATTTTTTTTTGCAGAAGTCAACAATACGAAGATATTTCACCAGAAACAGATGCAAACGTTTACGAGACATTAGAAATAGCAATGTAACTAATAGCTGAAGAACTGTATTTATTTGTTGATATATTTGTCCGCATATGTCAGTTATATTTTAGTTCTAAAATGCACTCATTCCTAATTCCTAAAATATAAACTATTGATTTATTTGAATTTTGCATATTGTGTACACCATAGTTTTAGATACGATGTTTCAAAATTTTATTAAAGCGCCAATTAAGCCTTTAAAGACAATAGCTTCGTTAACTATTATCTTATGAATAAAGAGGAAAATTTGAAGAATCAACTGTGACAAAAAAGGTTGATTTATCCTTCTTTAATGACTTGAATTCTACTGTCAATTATTTACAGTAGGAGTTCAATTCATACAAATGTTGTTCTTTTATTGGTTGAAAGACTAATCATATGATTCGGGCATATACTTTCATTTCGTTTAAAACAAAACCAATGCCGTGGGAAAGAATTCAATACGTATGCATATGAGTCACTGTGCATCACAAGATCATAGAAATATTATCTTGTAAACAGCAATTGGTTTCGCATTGTTTGTGTACTTATTGTACACGATTATGCTATTAAAAAATCGCAAAGTTTATTCATTAAAATAAATTATTGAAAAAAAATGATGAAATATGTATGGATAATTGATATAAATATATAAAAATGAATCATTATCCTACATATGCATTTACAATAATAATTGAAATTTGAATATTTTACATGCAATCTACTTTCAAATCGACTTCTCAATTTGACAATTTCAGCTATATGACGTATATTAATTGCTTCATTTGGAATGATAATGCCTTCGTCTCACTTGACAATTTTCTGCAAAAGTTTTGTGTTTAAAGTTTGTCTTTCAGATTCAAAATGTCATAACATTTAGTTTCTTTATTTCAAAAATCATTAAATATTAGAATTGGATGCTGTGTTTTTGAACATTTAAACGAAATCAAAGCAAGTAATAGTCACAATTTTAGCAAGATACGCATCTGCGCTTCATGGGATATTGTTGAAAATGTGATAGTCACTTGCTTTTATATCGTATAAATTTTCAAAAGACAGCAAGCGACTTTGAAATGAAGGCTGTGTGATAATCTGTTTAAATCAATAAACTTACAAATAAATGTTAGAATAACACTGTTGTTGGGTTATTATCTCGGTAATTTTCTGACATTAATATCAATTCTAGAAAGTTTGTTTTCCATTTTTGGATAGTGAATTGCTATACACATTTACTTTTGGTTTTGCACAAAATCGATTATAACTACTTGTAGTGTTTTTGCCGTTCAGTGTGAATATTATCAAAGTGCATCTGCTAGAAAAGAACTGTATCGGATGGATTTTTAATTCCGTTTTTTTTTGCTCGGGGCTAACCGGACATTGCATATTTGTCATGGAGGAGTTTTGTCTTTTGAAGATAGATGTATCATGAGTGTTCATAGACCCAGTAAGTATTTTAATTCTAATTCATATTAACGACCTTAAAGCATCAACCCATTTGGAAAGAGTATTGACGTATCATTTTTCACGTTTAACCCTTTGATTAACTCAAATGCGTTTATATCTTTGAAAGATGTCAAAAACTATGTAACTCAGAAAAACATAATATTTATATAAAACTATAGACATCTATCAAATTCAATACTTTGGTTGACTGGTTTTCTATGTTGTGTTTTCTGTTGTATGTCTTTTGGTTGTTTTTCGTTTTTATTATTTATTTTTTTTTGCCATGGCGTTGTCAGATTGTTCTCGACTTATGCGATTAACTATACTTTGGCATCTTTTGGTGACTGCTTAACGTCCCACTACCTACAAATGTGATGTTGAATATTCTTTGCAATGAAATGTACTCAAAATTTGAGTCAAGTCGTGAACAACCTCTGTCCCTTGTTGGTTAAAAGATTGATTCCATCCGTCAAAAGGAATTAATCACATAAATCAATCCAGTGTCTCTTTTTCCTAGTTACTTTGGTTGTAGAAGCTAAATGATTAACAGATGACAGATTGTTTTAGTGAATATAAATCATGTGTATGAATTAGAATCTGTATATCTAAAAGATTATGTTGAGTTGAACAAGATATTAAGAATTACATGCATACTTATATTTATGAAATATTCCCTTATTTTCCGACTTTCTATCATTTCGACCAGCTTTTCATTTTCGTCATATAATTCGTGTCAAATTTTTGATAATCGTCATAACTATTCTTATTCACTTTTTTATTAAAGGTAAGACACCTCTGTATTACTGAAAATTATTACACCAGGGTTTTCGATATCACAAACTAATCAAAACATTTACGCAATTTTATCATCGGTACAAGGACATCATTCGTAAATATAAATCAACATGCAGACATCTTATAGGTTCAGGTATTTCACATCCAATCTTTTATGATAATATTATATACAAAGCACAAAAACGTCGATATTCACCTCAAAAGTTAACCAAACCTTTAAACAGACTTATTCAGACGGGATATAGTTACGAAACTGTTGTCAGGTCATTTAAGATGGCATATTTTGGTTTTAATATTGATTCACTCATAGGGTCTTTTCATCGGAAATAAACACATTTATTCTAAAACCAGTTGTTGGCATGATACGGAGTATGTTCTTCTCATATATTTAATGATGGTATGATACCTAACCCCTATCGGGAGGGATTGTGCTCGATTTTCATATGATGGAGACATAATCTTGCAATCAGTTTAATTGAGGTCTGGAGCTGGCATGTCAGGAACTGCTAGTAGTCTTTTGTTAATTTATGTATCATTGTCATTTTGCTTAGTTTCTTTTGTCACCGATTCTGACATCGGACTCGGACTTCTTTTAGACTGAGTTTTACTGTGCGTATTGCTGTGTGTTTTTTTTTATTCTACATTGGCTTGAGGTATAGAGGGAGGGTTGAGATCTTACAAAACATGTTTAACCCCGCCGCATTTTTGCGCCTGTCCCAAGTCAGGAGCCTCTGGCACTTGTTAGTCTTGTATGCTTTTTAATTTTAGTTCATTTATATGTCCATTTTCATTGAACTAGTACACATTTTTGTTTATGGGCCAGATGAAGCCCGCCTCCGGGTGCGGGATTTTCTCGCTGTGTTGAAGACCCATTGGTGTACTTCGGCTGTTTTCTGCTCCTTGGTCGGGTTGTTGTCTCTTTGACACATTCCCCATTTCCATTCTCAATCTTAAGATAAAATAATAACACAAAAGCATTTTCAGACAAATGAATTTCATCAACAGAACACTTGGGTTAAATCAAAACGAAAAACAGGATTCAGATTGATTCCAGCAACACATTATTACAATGAAGTTCATAGTAGTTTCTCGTGCGAAACAGGCACGACTTGTCCTGTTAATGTCATCATTTCAAACAACGTCTTTTCGTTGAATTTCAGATCTATAGCAGAAACTTGGCAATGAATGTTGTTCTGTTCCATCATAAACGATCTTCGTTCATTCTTAATAAATTATCACTGTGAATAAAGCAATTCAATGTATCAACAAAATATGTGCTAAAAACATCTAGGTTTCAAGAAAATGTAGTCCTTCAGATAAGCAGTTAAAAGTGGCGCATTTTATAAAAGAATGCATCATTTGTAATTTGTTACTTTCAACATCAATGATAAAAAGAAAAGTAAAATGCAAATCTAACACTAAAGGGCAACTAATAGATTGCATACATGTTCAAATTATCACAACTGAATCAAATAATTCAAAATGTTAAATTGGATGTAAAGATTACCGTGATTTCATATGTGAAAGACAAATCAACAATTCAATATATTTTCAATCAAGACCTTATATTTTGGTATTGCAAAAAGTCTCTTTTTTCCTCAGCCTGGTTATGACGTCTAACACTTAACTGATTAAAATTGTAGTCTTGGAGAACATGATTAATGTTTAGGGGGAATTGGCTCTGATCTAGCATTTCCTAGCTGCGAGTTTGTACTCTCATATTTGTAGCTTGTGTGTTTTTGTCTTTTTGAATGGCTTTTCTGTGTCAAATAAGCAAATGCCATTTCATCAAAGCGAAATGAGAATGCAAAGAAAAATATACATTGTCCTTGCATTTTCTTTACATTTTAAAATCAATAATTAATTCAAAGATAAAATAAGAGAATATTCAACTCGTGACCAACGTCAGAGTCATCCCTAGTGTTTATCGTATTCATAACTTGTAAATAGGACTGTATACTGTTGAAGCACAATTATCAATATAATTCAAACATTTTCTGATACTAATCTTAAGTTTTTTTGTTGCGAAGTCTCTCTTGATGTTACATTATTAAAAACAAACCATTCTACGATTATGTAAACCATTTCTAATTTACTTTTATTTGAACTTATCTATCTTTACAGTTTAGTCATACCTGCCAAGTAAGATCTGTTGATCTGAAAATTACAATTTCATACTCAATGTGTTCTATCTTTGCTATGAAGCTTCAACAAAGGTTAAAAATATAATATTTCAATCAATTAACTATTCAGAACATTGGATGTGTACTGATCGATATTTTAGTCTTAGATTTATTTTATAAGTTGTTATTGGATTTGAACTAGCTGTCAGTAACTGTGAGTACTCTCAGATCTGTACTTAGTGTCTTTTTTGTTGTTAGGGATGTATAAAAACCCTGCCACGTCCGGCCTATGTGTGAGGTAGATGTCTTTCGGTTTTGTATCGATCTGATGAGTTAAACCCTTTCCAACTGATTTTTGTAGTTTGTTTTTATGTAGAACTGTTACACCACTATCCCAGGTTAGTGGAGGGTTGAGCAAACACAAACATGTTTAACCCCGCCACATTATGTATGTGCCTGTCCCAAATCATGAGTCTGTATATCGTGGTTGTCGTTTCTTTCTGTATATCATATTTGTTTTTCGTTCTTTCTTTTGTACATAAATCAGTTTTCTCGTTTGTATTGTTTTATATTTGTCATGTCGGGCCTTTTACTGCCGACTACGCGGTATGGGATTTGCTCATTGTTGAAGGCCGTACGGTGACTTATAGTTGTTAACTTCAATGTCTGCTGGAGAGTTCTCTCATTGGTAATCATACAACATCTTCTTACTTTCATGATAATTATAAGTATAAATGAGCTTTCTACATTAATTTTTTTTCCGTGTGGATATTCATTCGTTTGATTTATTCAAAACCGTTGTCAGTTTGGCGCGATTGAAAGCTCGCTATACTGTATAGACACTTGAGCATTTTTTGTGACTATTTTAAGCTCTATACGTCGTTTGGTTACTAGTATTTGTTGCAGGGGAGCGAGATTCATTGAAGTGTATCTATATCCCATTTATTTATAACACATTGGGATTGTGCGGTTGTCTGTTATTAGAAAAAAAACATTGTTAAAACAAGAGGCAAACGATACCAAGAGGACATTAAAAACTCTCAAATCCAAGAGAAAGTGAAAAAGTTATTTAAGTTAATAAATTTTCATTGGTTTTAATGGGGTTTTTTATCCTCTGGTACCTCACTGTTTCCCCAGGGAATGATGTTACAATTTACATTTCATTTACAGAATTAAGTTATTGCACGTAAACTAAGATTTACTCCGGACATTTATTTAAAATATCTACGTATACTATTAGTGGTTTTTTTTTCTTTTATTTTCCTATTATTTTAGACGCTATCTGATTCTTACGCTTTTTGATTTTAAGGCTTTTGTCTTTATAAGTTTTATTCACTGTCGAATCTGATGAAGATGATAGTCCTTTAATGATTTAAGCTTCCAAATAAAACGTAATAGTTTTATGCTCTGATTTATAGTGCAATGCGGAAGAGGTGTTCGGTACAAAAAAAAATTGTTTCTAATTTAGCATCATTTTTTTATACATCAAAAGAACCTGAAATTATACAAAAATACAATTTAGCGGTAAAATTAACGATTACTAATTCCAATAAATGATTTGTTTCTTACCTGATCGTCTTTTCAGGAGTCTAGGCCTGATAACAAACCACGATATTGCTAATAGTATAGATATCCCTACAATACAAGCAACAGAGATACCAGCAATCACACCTGCCGAAAAATGAGACTTTGATGCCGCTACATCTAGAATAGAAATAAGAGTACATTTTTTTTTAAAGTCTAAAAATATTTTTGCTCCACTTATACAAATGATAAATCTTATGTCTCATGCAAATGTACCTCACATTTGTTCATTAGAATATCAATTGTGCAATTGTATTATATACTGTTATGATCGTTGATCTTATATTGCCTATTTTGTCCCTTTATTCTACATTTTTTTTTTTAAAGTCTAAAAATATTTTTGCTCCACTTATACAAATGATAAATCTTATATTTCATGCAAATGTACCTCAAATTTGTTCATTAGAATATCAATTGTGCAATTGTATGATATACTGTTCTGATCGTTGACCTTATATTGCCTATTTTGTCCCTTTATTCTACCATATTGCCTTTAATAAAAAAAAAAGTCGACGCACTGGCGACGTCGGAAAAGTAAGAACAGACACTTCTGCATCGACTTATATGTATTTCAAATTTTGTACAAAACAATTTTAATGATTTGCCAGACTTTTTTTCGTAATCGTTTTGCTAGTGCAGAGTATGCTCGATTGTTTAAATCGGATTTGAAATATTCACTAGAAATGTAGCCGCAAAATGAGCCATCATTTTATTCTTATGGCGTTTATATGGCTTTTGATATTAACTTGTTAAGCATATGACCGTTTAAGTTAGTTTGAAATGGTTATGGATAATTCACTTTTCATTAACTATGTTATATTATTTGTAAGTTTTATTATGGTGCTAATAAGAAAGATTTTGTTCGCTTAAACAATGTTACTGCGATCTTAATCAAAATTCCGACATACCTGTTTGTATGTGAAGTTCTTGAGAACGAGTGCTATTATACCCATTTGATACAGCTATAACATAAATACTGTAGAATGTATGTGGACTTAGGCTATCTATATGACATAGTACTGTATTGATTGTGGATTTACATACTCCAAGTTGTTTGACCTTCTTGTCATTTAAATAAACGTTGTAATAGTCGGCATGTCCATGGCCTTTGAAGATGTTGACATCAATTGAATTGTGATCATGTCTTATCATCACTATCTTTGATGGTGGAAACGGATCTGAATATTAAACAGATATCAGAAACATGTAAATCATTCATTATACTCGGTCAAGGCATCATGATACTGAAATAAAAAGTACATCCTACAAATTAACAACAGTTAACAACAACACAAGTGATCAAGAAAGCAGAAAAGTCTTTGTCTCATGTAAACAGAAAGTATAGTGCGAATGACGAAAACCTTGCCGATTTCATATGTAATGATGAGTTTTTATATATATATATATACGTATACTTATATTATACAAAATACATTTTAGACACTATCTTAAAGAAGCATATACCGGTATTCCGGGTTTAGATACTAAGACTATTTTTACTTTTTCGGAATGAACATTTTTTTCCCGCAAATAATATACGAAATTATTTCCTAATACATTTCCTCACAATAACATTTTTGGAGGTTTCCGATATGTATCGCAGGGTAATTAAGTCACACATTATAGCTTTCTCCTTTTTCAAGCTGTAAGTGGTAAATATTATAAATTGTTGTCGAAGACCTTGTAATTCCTGTCATGATGATTGACAATAACAGCAGTGTTCCACCTATTTTTTTGATATCTTGTTAACCTTAATTCATTTATATTTTGTCTCATATACATACTTTGTCGAAGTATTCCATCGTCCTGAACATGCATGAAATATTTGTCCCTGGAAGTTAAGCAACCAACAATCAATCAATCTAAGTATTCTTATAAACAGAATCATAAATACTTACATGTTTGGGTCTGTAGTGTATTAGATGCTGCACTATTTAACCCATTGGCCACTGCTACAACATATACCGTGTAAGACATTCCGGCATCTAAACCATTTATAACGTAATAAATGAATGGCCCTGTTAAATTTTGAATTGTACCCTGTTGTTTGCCATTTACGTAAACTATGAAATGGTCAAAATGCCCTAACCCTTTTGTAATGTTAAGTGCTATTTTCTCTGTAGTTTGTTGTAGTGATTTCAAATTGTTCGGAGCATCAGGATCTAAAAAAAGTAAGAATACCAGATAATTGACCACGTAAAAAGTAAAATCACAAAAATACTGAACTCCGAGGAAAATTCAAAGAAGAAAGTCCCTAATCAAATGGCAAAATCAAAAGCTCAAACACATCAAACGAATGGATAACAACTGTCATATTCCTGACTTGGTACAGGCATTTTCTTATGTAGAAAATGGTGGATTGAACCTGGTTTTATAGCTAGCTAAACCTCTCACTTGTATGACAGTCGCATCAAATTCCAATAATAATTGTAATAGATTGTATATGTTATGCATGATAACATTTCCCGTATTTATGTTTTAATGACTAATAGTTGTTTTAGTAATGAAAGTCACGATATGTTCTGTGGTACGTTGTTTCATACAAAAATCCGCTTCCGAAAAATATGTCTTTCGCATGGATTCTTGATCCTTGTTTTTGTTTTTGTTTGTTTTTTTTTTAAGGGGGGTATTTTTAATTTGATTATATTTTTTTATCATAGCCTTGTCGGTGGTTGTCGTATGTATTTAAATATGAAATGTAACAAAAACGTGTTTTCATTATTTACAGCAGTGAGTCGATACCTCTGCTCGTGGACTATCATCAGTCCACGAGGGTATCATCAGCTCAGTAATCAGAACTTCGATACTGACATGATTTATAACAAACCTTTCTGAGATTGTCCGTTAAAAAATTTTGAAATTATAAAGAAACTAAGGTTTCAACTCCCTCAGGCAAAGTTGAGCTTAGATGTATTTGGCTTTTTTGGGTCCTTTTTTGTGATCCAGCTCTTCAACTGTTTCGGTTCTTATACATCCTCGGCTTTCTAATATTCGGCTTTGAGCGTTCCTGGTTAAGCTAAATCCAGAAAAGCGCTTCGGACACTTGAAACTTATAAGGTGTTGTTTTCATTTTTATTTCTGAATGGGGTTTTTGGATGCCTTTTGGTTTTTTAGTAAACGGCATTAGTGTTGATGGCAGATTTTTATTGCTTTTTATTTTTATTCACAAATTGTATGCAGTCGGGACATGTAAACGCTTGACATTGTATATATACAACTGCAAATTTCCCTGGTGGTGTCTAAAGCTATTTTATTCGTTGGATTACTGTTACATTGACCTATATTTAACATCATTTAAACACATATATATTATCATATTTTTAAAGATACCAAATCAATAAAGTGTTATTGAACTTTCCAAGACCTCATGCAAAGTTGATGTATTGAGCTTTGCAAGCGAGGTCCATTCTGGAAATTAAGCTCCTCACATAATGGAAAAGCTATACATTCATGTGTTTCGCATAATTGGGTTAGAGCCTTTCTGATGTAGTTTATGTAAATTGATGAAGTATCCTTTTTATTTTACGTAGTTTGTTAACTCACATGTACATCCTGTTTGTATCCCTGATTTCCTGCTGAGTGAATTAACTACCAAAGCAAGTTGTACGGCATAACAGATACCAGGTGAAAGATGATTGATGGAAAAATAAGTCCCATAAATGTGAAAGCTTGGAGTCGGTTTACCGTCCACTAATATTGTGACAGCAGTACTCAAAGAATCTTGTGGATATAAAATCCGTCCCTGAATGGATGTAGTTGCATGAACTTTGTCTAAGCTAAATTTTGGAGGATTTTCTGGTGCTGAAAGTAAAATGTTTTCTTCAAAAACATGCATAGTAATCGGTGTTATGAAAAAGGAATATGAAAATATTTTCCTCCGTACACGTAATAATTATCTGCTACAAAATACAAAATGACATTATGTGCATGTTCAAAGCGGCAAAGTAACCATAAAAAGAAATGTATACTGATTTTCATCCATTGTTTGTAATTTATGTCGATTGATTCATGGTAACATTCATAAATACAAACAAAAAAGCAATAATCACTGTGAATCATCAGTATTCGATAAAAGGTATATCAGGGGTATAAACTAATTAAACATTTACATGGTTAAATTTACCCAAAACTGCATGACTCATAAAATGCCGTGTTTTGAATAATATTGTCTCTGCTTAGAACATATATATATAAACAAATTAAGACAAAAAAATCCATTAGTCTATCCATGGTAGTAGTTTTTGTTGAAGTTGCCCGTGATGTTGTCTTGTAGATTCTTGAGAGAAACAAAGCATATTTGTACTTCATTCAATTGCTAGTGTTCAAATGCGTATGTTGATACGATACTCCAGTGCTTGTATTTCCTATCATGATTTCCTTGATAGAGGGTTGCTGCTTACAAGGAAGCTATTAAACCAAGAGTTCCAAGTGGTGTAGTTGAAATCATCCCTTCGTTAATTTTACGGACGCCATCACGAGTTGGTTGACCGTTCCGGAATATCCGATTCACTGATGATAGCGGATATGTTCCCAATGTCGTAACTACAATCCCGTCCCCTTTACCCGAATGTGACCTACAGAATTAGACTTATTACCTGGTTTGTACTAGCATGAGCAACATGACAGGTACCACATGTGGAGCAGGATCTGCTTACCCTTCCGGAGCACCTGAGATCACCCCCAGTTTTTGGTGGGGTTCGTGTTGCTCAGTCTTTAGTTTTCTATGTCGCGTTTTTTGTACTATTGTTAGTCTGTTGGTCTTTTTCTTGTTTAGCCATGGCGTTGTCAGTTTATTTTCGACATATGAGTTTGAATGTCCCTTCGGTATCTTTCGCCTCTCTTTAGCATCAGTTGCATTAGTTGTATTACTAAATTCAGCAGATTGATATAAACACATTTTATATTTTTATTCCGAACCGACTGGTGTATTTATAACATCATGTCTATCATTACGTCCATGTAGATCTTTTATCAAGAAATAAAATGAGATATCGCGCTCATAAGTTTTTTACTTTGATTTAATAGATTTGAAGTTGCTTACAAATCGATAGCTATTTCCAGCTTTAATGCTGCAAGATATATAATGAATGATTTTATCATACAGATTAAAATCAAAACAAAGAGACTTAATTGGTTTATTTAATTGCCTTATATATAAATCTACTTATGTTGAGATTTACTTCTTTGTGAAGGAGAAGTCATCGTAGTCTTATGGGCACTTGTTCTTGACGTTGTTGTAACATGATTCACTGTAGAACCTACATTTGAAATACAATTTTAATATTACAATACTATCATCTAATTTCTGAATTTAAAAGGGGCCTTGGTGCCCAGTAGTCTAAGTAATCGAACTACTGTATCACTAGCCTGTCAACACTCAGGTTGTAAGTTCGAATCCCGCACGTGGCAGGTGAGCTCGTCTCTTATCTTAATTGACTAGGATTGTTAGTTTTCCTGCCTAAGGTCTGTGGTTTTCTCCAGGCACCCTAGCTTCCTCCACCAATAAAAACTGACCGCTACGAAATAGCACAATAAATCAAATTTAAAACAAAGTAATCAACTACATTCACTGCTTCAACGCGTCATTTTACCCAAGAACCATGCATTTAAATGATGCTCGAATTTCAGTCCATCCCGACCATACTTGTTCTATGAATCTTTCAATCAGTTTAATTGAGGTCTAGAGCTGGCATGTCAGTAACTGCTAGTAGTCCTTTGTTAATTTATGTATCATTATTATTTTGCTCATTTTCTTTTGTTACCTATTCTGACATCTGACTCGGACTTCTTTTAAACTGAGTTTTACTGTGCGTATTGCTGTGTGTTTGTTTATTCTACATTGGCTAGTGGTATAGGAGGAGGGCTGAGATCTCAGAAAACATGTTTAACCTCGCCGCATTTTGTGCCTGTCCCAAGTTAGGAGCCTCTGGCCTTTGTTAGTTTTGTATGTTTTTTAATTTTAGTTCATTTATATGTTTTGGAGTTTAGTATGACGTCCATTTTCATTGAACTAGTACACATTTTGTTTAGGGGCCAGCTGAAGCCCGCCTCCGGGTGCGGGATTTTCTCGCTGTGATGAAGACCCATTGGTGGCCTTCGGCTGTTTCTGCTCTTCGGTCGGGTTGTTGTCTCTTTGACACATTCCCCATTTCCATTCTCAATTTTATTACTATAAAATAGGGCACACAAGTTTGTGAACACGAGCAAATGTAACCAACAAATTAATGACGAGTATTTCGACAGCAAAACGTACTTAACAAACTTAACCTGACATCATGCTGTGGCAATGTTTTAAGCAAGAACAAATTTCGCAGAAGTCTTTTAATTTTCATGTAATGCCTTTTCTTTTGAGTTCAAAATATAAACTTGCAGTACATTAGATAAAAATGACAATGCTTTCATTCCTTACTTATATATATACAGTTAAATGGAATACCTTGAACTAAAACACAAGTTCCATTTATGCCATTGTATCCAGATATACATGAGCAGACAAATATTTCTTCTCCTCCGTCCACGCAGCTGGAATTTGGATCAGAACAATTTCCAGTTGAATAATCCGGGTAACAAAATCCGTCCAATGGAATTACTGGATCATACATAAAAAAGAATATTTTATTATTCATTTACTGTAGTACATATCCGTGATCATATTGACAATTAGATTTTTTAAATGAGTTTTGACGGGCATTGATTGTATAATTCGTTATTTAATCTCATATTTAGGATTGGTTTGAGTACTAGTATACCTTATTTTACCATCTTACTTCATCTAAACACCAAGATACGTACATGTTACTGTTGTTGATGGTGGAGTTTTCATTGTCGTGACGTCTGAAAGTAGAATAAAATCATTTTTTTTTCAACATTTTACATTTAAATCCCATTTAGAAGATAAAGAGTGAGACGAATACTACTTACTTTTGATGAAATGCATTGTTTTTAAAACAATTATCTTTACTGAATATAATTGAAGCATTTTCAGTTAATACAAATATTGTATTATAAAAGTATAATACAATATTATAGTTTATCGTAGTTTCTGATTACAAGCACATACATTTCAGCTGATTCAGTGTGTCGTTCTTACCGATAACTATGGATTTAACTCCTGCTTGAATTTCAGTCCGTTCGAACCATGTGTGTCTATTGAGCATTGAGTAACAGAGAATCATAAGTATAAAATTTATCACAAAAATATATACACACGAGCAAACCACATCCTTTCTTTTCTATTTAATTAACGACACATTCTTTGCAAAAGAAAACGAACTAGCAAAATTAACCTGACATCATCTTTTGGCAATGTTTTAATCAAGAACAAATTTCGCAGAAATCCTTTTATTTGGATTTAATACATTTTTTTTTAGTTCAATGGACGTTTGTAGTAGATTAAATAAAAATTACAATGATTTCATTTCTTATTAATTACATGTAATATATAGTCAAATGAAATACCTTGAACTAAAACACAAGTTCCATTTATGTCATGGTATCTAGATATACATGAGCAGAAATATACTTCCTCTCCTGCACTTAAGCAACGAGAATAGGGGTCGTAACAAACTCCATTTGACCAACCCGGGTAACAAAATTCGCCCAATGGAATTACTGAATCATAAATAAAAGAGCATACATTTGATTTAATCTATTTAACCAATTTGATTTAATGTATTGAACCAAGAGTTCAAAGTGGCTAAGTTGAAATCATCCCGTCGAAAATGTTACGGACTGCATCACAAGTTGGTTAACCGTTATAGAATATCTGTTTCACAGATGACGACGGATATGTTACAATTGTCGTAATCACAATCCCGTCCTCTGTTCACCGAATAAAACTTATCATCGGGTTTGTACTTACTTGAGCAGCACGACAGGTGCCACTAGTGAAGAAGAATCTGCTTACCCTTCCGAATCACCCCTGGTTTTTGTTGGGATTCGTGTTACTCAGTCTTTAGTTCCTATACTGTTGTTGTCTTTTCTTTATTTTTTTGTTTTTTGCCATGGCATTGTGAGTTTGTTTTTGACTTATGAGTTTGAAGTTTTTCCTCTCGTTTATTGAGTTTATTACTTATACTGTTTTATGGAGAAGACTTCATAAGTATGAATTACTTGTGTCTTTTCCATTTTGCTGGTTTTTAGCAAATAAAATAAGTTTAAACACGAACACAGAATAAGATGTGGGAAATAATATATGTCAAACAGGTAGGTACAATTCTTTATTTACTCTCATATTTGTCTAATTTTTTAGTATAATTTATCAATTTTGACCATCTTACTTCCTCTGAACACTAACATACGTACATGTTATTGTTGTTTGTTTTGTAGTTGTCATTGTTGTGATGCTGACGTCTGAAAGTAGAATAAATACAACTTCGATTCAACTTTTGACATTTCAAACTGAATAAGGAGATAAAAAGTGAGCAGAATACTACTTAATTTTGATGTAATGCACTTTGTTTTACAATTTACATTTCTGAATTTAACTGAAGCAGAGGAGCGCTGACTACTAGGCCATCTCACTTATACTAAATATATAAAGAAGAGGAAGTAAAACTAGTATTTTTTTTTATTTCAAAAGTTGTATTTTTCTTGGGACGGAGAATGTTGGAAATCACATACAGAAGAATAACGCTGTATTATTGTGTCTTGCGTCGTTTACTTATAACGTTATCAATTCTTTAGTCATCCATACCAATTCATTCTGTTTACACGTCTTTGATTCTATACATGCTGTTTTAGTATAACCACTTTACGATAGAGACTTACGTGAAGTCTTTGTATGTGTACTCGATTGGGTACTTGTACTACTGGGTGGACCTTGAAGTAGAGACAAAAATATGAATTAAACACTGATAGTAGCTAAAACCGTTTTTTTTACTTTTGTCAAAGATTAGTTTAAACATTGGTATGTATGATTTCCTGAACAACGTTGACGGAGCAATGGTGCTATTGAAAAAATCTTATCCATTTTCATAAATACTTAATATGACTCTAGATATGAATTAATTCATTTTGCTCATTATGAAACAATCGGCAAATTACATTACCCCGATAAAAGTTCTTGAGAATAAAATAGTTAAAATACTCATCGCATAATTATGTAGCAAAGTCATTGGAAATGCTGTCATCAAATCACAAAATATCTAGATATTTCAAGAAGAAAAAAACAGGTTAGAAGAGTATTTCAGAGGCTTATATAATACGCTATGTAAAACAAAGTACAAACCTTTTTTTATAATGAGAGTTTAATAAAAAGGGATGATGAGGTGTATCAATTGTTCCGATTTATAAATTCTTTTTACAGAAAATTGTCTTACCTTGAATACATTTACCATTGGCAGGTATAAATGGATCTCTACACTTACACGTCAAACCTTCTCCACCATCATAAATACAATGTGCGTTACTATCGGCACAGAGAGGCTCTAATCCTACACACCGATCACCAACAGGAATAACTGAAACATATTACAGATATGGTATCAATCTTTTACTCTTCCACGAGATAGTAAAATCCAAAATTTTATAGATGATCAGTATGTGTAAGAATATATCAACAAATATAAGGAACCTCCGATTTTTAGTTCCTCAGACAAATACATATATAGATATAAGAAGATGTGGTATGAGTGCCAATGAGATACTCTCCATCCAAGTCACAATTTGTAAAAGTAAACCATTATAGGTCAAAGTACGGCCTTCAACAAGATGCTATGACGAATTTCATCCATGACCAATGAGTGTAAGAATATATAAGAACTCGGTAAACAAAATATTGAAACCAAGTAATCTGACAAAACGCCTGATACCATGATGAAATGAAGCTCGATCCTAAATAAGGAAGCCAAAAAAAAAATAGTAACGCGTGAGTCGATCTACGAAATGAATCTTATCCGTCATTTTCCATTATTAATTAAAAAAATATATATATACATGTATATAAATTAAACACTGACAGTAGCTGAAACCATTTTTTACTTTTTTCAAGAATCAATTTTAACATTATTATGTAGGATTTCCCAAGCAACGTGGACGTAGCAATGATGCTATTGAAAAAATCTTATTAATTTTAATAAGTACTTAATTAATCTAGGGCTCATAAAGAAACAGTCTGCAAAATATGTTACCCCGATAAAATTTCATGAGAATCAGAAACTTAAAATGTTTATCACATGATTATGTTGCAAAGTTATTTGAAATGCTGTCAGCAAATCACAAAATATCTAGATGTTTGAAGAAGAAATAAACAGGTAAGAAGAGTTTTTTAAAATGCTTATATAATACGCAGTGTAAAACAGACTACAAACGTTTCTTTTTTATTATTACATAGATTTAATGAAAAGAGACGATATGGTGTATCAATTGTTCCGATTTATAAATTCTCTTTACAGAAAATTATCTTACTTTGTTTACATTTACCATTGGCAGGTATAAATGGTTTTCTACACTGACACGTCAAACTCCCTCCACCATCATCAATACAGTGCGCATTACTATCGGCACAGAGCCCGAGTTTCTCATATCCTAAACACAGACCATCAATAGGAATAACTGAAATATATGACAGATATAGTATCGGTGCATTGCTTTCCCCAGAGATACTGAAATCCAAAATGTTACACATGGCCAGTATGTGTTAGAATATATAGGTATTCGGAATACAGAAGGTTGTTAAACAGTGGATCTGAAAACGCCTCATACGATATAACATTCTCAAATGCAGCTTGATACCAAATTTAAGGAAACTCTGATTTGTAATTCCTCTGACAGATAGGACGAAACTTTTATCCATGGCCAATATGTGTAAGAATATAAAGAATTCGGTAAACTTTGCAGTCAAGTGATGTGACAAACATCTGATACGATATAGCATGGTAAAATGTGACAAACGTCTGATACGATAAAGCATGATGAAATGTAACAAACGTCTGATACGATATAGCATGGTGAAATGTGACAAACGTCTGATACGATATAGCATGTCTGATACGATATAGCATGGTGAAATGTGACAAACATCTGATACGATATAGCATGGTGAAATGTGACAAACGTCTGATACGATATAGCATGGTGAAATGTGACAAACGTCTGATACGATATAGCATGGTGAAATGAACCTCGATCACAAATTAGAAAGCTGAAGAAAATGGTCATGCGTCAGTCATTCTACGCAAATGAATCATATCCTTCATTCCCATAGTTGATTGAAATACAAATTTTAACAAACGAAACACAACAATGACATCTTAGAATGTAATATATGACCTTTTATTGAGATGTTTATGTTATTCACTGCTGTCGTTATTCACCTATATGTGATATCCGTAATATTTCTCTTTGGTTGTTTTCCTTGTGATATGATGTTCTTATCGGATATTTTTATAGTCCACGTCATGTTTGGTTTTGTTTTTATTTGGTTTGTTAGTTCTGTGGATTTTTTTAATCTCTGTTTTTATTTTTATTTTGTCTATCTTAATTTGTTCTTTTTGGAGTGGTGGAGGTGAAGATTAAATGTTTCAAAGTGTCTTTTTTATCATTTATTGTCTACTTTTCGGTGGATCTAGAAAACATGATCTTGCAATAAAATCTTACGTTTAACACAAGTTCCTTTTATTTCTATAAAGTCGTATTTACACTGACACATATACATATGTCCGCCGCCATGTCCGTCATCTTCATCCACACATTCGGCATCACTATCTGAACAGGTATCATTTAATTCCGAACACTCACCAAAAAGCGGAATATCTGGATCATGAAATAAAATGACATAGCAATGTGGTAATTGTGATTTTGTATACTTGTATTTTATTTTTTATGGTTATATTTATGCTTATGATTGCAAAACAATAAGTGCATCAACAAAAAATATCAAGACGAAACGTGCTAATATTTACAATGCATCTAAGAAACTTTATGAATTGGAATTATAAAAAAACGGTTAAAGAAGCTAGTATTTAGCCACAAAATGTGCTCAGATTGTTTATTTTACAAAACATTATAAGTACTTAATTAGAAAAGAGGGACGAAAGATACCAGAGGGACAGTCAAACTCGTAGATGTTCTACTGGCTGAGAACATTCAGCCACAAAATTTGCTCAGATCGTTTATTTTACAAATATATAAAGCATATTTTCTAGTGACTGGCTTTAGCAGGCACCGTTGGTTCACAATCACTAACTTTGATATACATTTTCTGAAATAAAAAACAAACGAGAATAAGATGATCAAGTGATCAAAAATTTTAAATACTGAAGGCGTATCTCTTTAAATACTGTAAAAGTTTGCAAAATCGAACTAGATCTTTATAAGTTAATGTGACATGACATTGTCTTAAAATCTAAAAAAAGGTCAAAAGGTATTCTACTTGTAACGGAAACAAGAACATGATTCTAAGATGACAAGCACTTTGAAATATTATCCTCGGGTACATCAATATAGGGGGAAATTCGTGGAAAATACCAAAGGGACAATACGAATTCATTTCATTTCATCATTTCAGGTATTAACTCTCCCGATATAATGGACGTCCATTTGCAATGATGTGTGCATTACTTTCACATTGATCGAGACTTACGTGTTGAATTGTGTTGCGGGGTCGACTGAGTACTTGTACATATTGGTGGATCTGGAAATAACAAAGGAAAACATGAAAGAAACACGGATATATCGATGAGTCAAACCAATTTTAACTTTCTCAAGCGTCATTTTCTCCTGTGTTATGTATGAAATGGAGTAATGGTGATATACTGAATAAAATCTTTGTCGGATTTAGCTCCGTGCATAACACTCTGCAAATTATATTGCGCCTATGAAAGTTTTGCATCATTTCGAGTAAAGTTCAAATGATTATTTCATGTTCATATTGCAGTCGTAAACTCTAAAGTCATTACATATGTTTTAAGTAAATCACAAAATATCTGGATATCTACCAAAACCCGCTAAGAAGAGAGAGTAAGATGCTACCATATGTAATACGCAATGAACAATAAACTATGTAGTTTAAACAAAATAAAGATGGATGAGATACATCAATTGTTCTGGTTTATACATTCTAGGTCTAAAACAAAGATAGGGTATAATGTATCCTTTATTCGGATTTATATATTGTCTCATTGGCACTCATACCGCATCTTCTTATTTCTATCTATACAAAATATAATCTGTCTTGAAAGCAGTTACCATTGGAAGGTATGAATGTTTCTTTACATTGACACGTGAAAACACCACCACCATCAGCAACACAGTGTGCATTGATATCTTCACAAAGATACTTAAATCCCATACACAGACCACCAATTGGAATAACTGAAATATATCACAGATAATGTATTGGTAATATCTTCACAAAGATACTTAAATCCCATACACAGACCACCAATTGGAATAACTGAAATATATCACAGATAACGTATTGGTAATATCTTCACAAAGATACTTAAATCCCATACACAGACCACCAATTGGAATAACTGAAATACATCACAGATAATGTATTGGAACATTGTTTATGCAAAAGATGCTACAATCTTACACCAAGATCAACCATTGGCATAGCTAAAATATATCACAGATAATGAATTATCGATACATTATAAATGTACTTGGAAAAACTAAACTGTATGTATAAGATACACCTCGACGGCGTTATCCCGATTTAGTGTATCTAATTTATACCAAGATTTTATTGTCAATACAGAATGAAAGTTTTCAATAATTTAGGAGGGGATATTTCACGGACTTGCCCCTATGTTATTGAAAAGCATGATAAATGCAGGGTATCCAATTTCATTTAACAACATCTTGGTGTAAGTTAACCTGTAAAGTCATCATGATATATTAAGCATTCAATCGTTTTTTAGATACAATGACTGATGCATTAGTATGTGTCACCATTATCGCAAAGGTGTAATCTTATCATTAGCTTCTAATTGGTGATATAAACGCAGAATTTTAACCAGCAAATATAAAGTGATTTGTAATAATGTAAATGTTGCCCATTTATTTCTAACATCCGTATTAAATTGCGTTTATTTTCTGTAATTTCTTTTGAAACACGCGCTGTTCTTATCGGAATAATATGTGATTGTTCACTTTACTCTTTTATAGATTATGTAGCGTGTATATTTGGTAGTATGCCTTCTTTTGTCATTGTTTTTTTATTGCTAGTATATATGCTCCTCATTGTGTTTTTGGTCCCGTTTTATTGTTTTTGTTTGCGTGTTTGTCAACATTATATTTTAATAATAAAATTCTTACGATGAATACATGTTCCATTTATTTGACGAAAGTCTGATTTACACCGGCATGTGAAGATTCCTCCGCCATCATCCACACATTTAGCATCAACATCTAAACAGTGATCATTTAGTTTCGTGCATAGACCACCAAGCTTTATATCTGTATGTTGAAATGAATTCACATATAAATCTTGTAACAGTGTTTCTGCCAGGGTTTTTTTTATATTTCCTTTTTATATTTTGTCAATTTCAAAAGTACAATTATATATGTGATTGCAAATAACGTTCTGTAGCAAAAATTGTATCTTTGATTAATATTTGCACATCTATTATTCAATTTTAGAAATAAAAAATCGAAAAAAAATTTAAAAAAAAAGAAAAAAAACTAGAGTCAAATCACAAATTGGTTCAGATATTAACACGTGTCATTAATTGTAGCACTAAATAAATGAAAATTGATACTTCAGAGTACTATATATAGTATATCAAATATTTCTAACTAGGTTGCATACGGAAAACAGCCAGGAGATCTATTGTTGTACTCGATTCCCTTTCAATGGCCATTAAGTTGATAATTCGACCTTTTTTATAGTGTGAGGAAAAGTTTTAAATCATGATTTTATAATCAGATTAAAATTTATATGTTTTAAAAATGCAGAAATTTCTGTATTTTTGCAAACATTTCTATTAACTTATATTAGCCACTGCACAAGAATATACACTTATGTGAAACATCAAACATTTCTTTTTCTACTTACAGGATTGAGGAGGTATAGTTGATTTACAATCAGTAACTGTAAAAATAAACATTTAATATCTGTTCTATTAATGTAATACAACAACCATGTGGTTTTATGGTCACAGATTCCCCACCCTCAGCATAACTTTTGAATGATAACTGTCTACTGTTTAATTCGAACGTGACGTATATATTTATTCCTGACATTGTGTTTAATTTGTACATTTGCTATCATCCGGGAAACAATATATAAATTAGGGGCCATGTCAATGAAAGTTTCTTAGGACATTACTTAGGTTGGTCTTAGGACGTATCTTAGACATGTCTTAGGATTTAAAACAAAGATATCTTGGTACAATCCTAACTGCGATTGTCCTGGGACCATCCTTACACATTTTCTTAAATAATAAAAATATGTAGAGAATCAAATAAAATATATTTCAATGTATTTCAGTATATGTAAAAAGTAAAATAACAAAAAAATACTCCAAGGAATATTCAAAATGGAAAGTCCCTTAACAAATGGCAAAATCAAAAGCTCAAACACATCAATCGAATGGAAAACAAATGTCATATTCGTGACTTGGTACAGGCATTTCCTTATATAGAAGGCGGCAGGTTGTCCTAGGGAGGCATAAATCCTACTTTGTAAGGAATTACTCTGATTAAAACAAAACATTCTCTGAAACTGACATTATCAAGATGCTTGATTTCTTGATTGACAACATATTTGTTACGTTTGGAGAACGTGTTTTTCAACATACTGTCGGAATTCCAATGGGATCCAATTGTGCCTCTCTTCTTGCCGACTTGTTTCTTTATTATTATGAGGCTGACTTCATACAGGAACTTCTTAGAAAGAAAGATAAGAAGTAAGCAATATCCTTTAACTTTACGTTCCGCTATATAGATGATGTTCTCTCACTAAATAATACAAAATTTGGTGACTATGTTGAACGAATCTATCCCATCCAACTAGAGATAACGGATACTACAGATATAGTTAAGTCTGCCTCATATCTTAAACTAAAATTTAGAAATTCCCAATGAGGGTCGGTTGAAAACAAAACTTTACGACAAAAGAGATGATTTCAGCTTCCCAATTGTGAATTTTTCCATTTATATGTAGCAACATTCCAGCAGCGCCTGCATACGGAGTATATATCTCCCAATTGATACGATATTCCCGGGCTTGTATTTCCTATCATGATTTCCTTGATAGAGGATTGCTGCTCACAAGGAAGCTATTAAACCAAGAGTTCCAAATGGTGAAGTTGAAATCATCCCTTCGTAAATTTTACGGACGACATCACGAGTTGGTTGACCGTTATGGAATAACCGTTTCACAGATGATATCGGATATGTTCCTTATGTCGTTACTACAATACCCTTCCCTTTCAACGAATGTGACCTACCGAATTAGACTATTTACCGGATTTGTAATAACATAAGCAACACGACGGGTGTCACATGTGGAGCAGGATATGCTTACCCTTCCGGAGCACCTGAGATCACCCCCAGTTTTTGGTGGGGTTCGTGTTGCTTAGTCTTTAGTTTTCTATGTTGTGTCATCTGCACTATTATTTGTCTGTTTGTCTTTTTATTTTTGGCCATGGCGTTGTTTGTTTTCGATCTATGAGTTTGACTGTCCCTCTGGTATCTTTCGTCCCTCTTTTGCATCTTTTATGAAAAACAAATTTACACAAAATAAAGTTTTAACGTTATACTATTATTATACATTATTATATACTATTAAAAAGGATAAATAAATTTCATGCAACAACAAAACTGCGTTGTCACAAAACTTTGTTACAGGCCATTATCGTGCTTCATTTTATGTTATATAAACTAGATTTGTCCTTCGGTCCACTCGATTTCATTATATTTATTGAATCAGACTTAGAAAGAAAAAAAGTCCAAATTTTTCTGAAACCGAGGTGCAAAAATGTTGCTTATATTGATAGAATTTTTCAGCTTAAAAAAAGGGCAGCACTAATTATTTTAATGGCCGGAATAATATGACATGGTCAAACATACTTTTTGGGGAGTTGCGATGGGTGCCCATTTCAGATTATTTTGTATATAGAAAAGCAGTTTTAGTTCTTAAAGTACATCACCAACTGACTACGGAATATCTCTATGAATTTAGATATGTGCATCAGGTTAGTTCTACAAAAACCAGACAAAGTACTTGCAATATGCTTTTTGTGCCAAAAACTAAACCTTAATACTATAAACGCTCCTTGCTGATATCTGGGAGTATTTTATGGAACAATCTGTCTACAAATTTAAAACAATGTAACACAATTCGATCTTTAAAAAACATATGTTAAAGAATATTTTGTTTAATTCTTATCAAAGTATAAAAGTTTAATATTTGTATTAGTATTTTTATTATTGAATTTTATACTTTATATTGTACTACATGTATATGTATATAATGTAGGACCTAATTGTAAACTAGACTTCTGACTAAATATGTTATCCTGTTGAGGTGTAATACCACCATTTTATTTTCCCCTATTAGTCTTTGTTAAATTTGCACTTTTCAAAAAATTGTGCAGAATTTATCTTTGTTTCAAATAAAGAAATACTTGGCATGAGTAAAGTTTTATCCTGTCCAGTACTATAGAAAAAATTTCACGTAACATTTCATTGCATATAAGAAAATAACCATCACTGGAAGTTAACCAATCAAATTTTCCCCCTTTTTTAACCTGTGTACAAGCTTTAGTAACCATGTAACCTCAAGTTTCCAAAATATTCTATAGAAACCCCAAATAAAGAAATAATGGTGCTTTGAAATACCCAAGATATATGTTTATGACTCAGAAATGTTTTACTGCAATGAAATGTAGGATCAATTACCTACAACTGTCAAATTCAAGGGAATATTTTTTTTCGACCTATTTTCGTATGCAACCGGATGTGACGTAATATGATTTGGTGGTATTACACCTAAAGAAGACTTTTTTGTTGAATAAACTGAATGTGACTTTTTTCCTTTGTAATACTGGTTATTTCAAGCATTCCTGTCAAGTTTTGTCATAATCAGTTCAATAGTTTGAGAAAAATCTAGTATAATGTAAGACGACATCTACAGCGATTCGAGCAAAATTTCTTCGAAAAATTCAAACCAAGCCGCATCATGATAGAATATAGTGTGGACCAATAAATGATCAAATATTTATCTCATCTGCCTACAAACAGTTGAATATGATACAAAAGATGACTTTAGGATGATAAATACTACTAATGGACCTCTTATTCTTCCTTATAAAGTCTCTTTTGGTCCATTTATACCTCTCATTTCCTCAAAATTTCTACTTTTTAGGCCAATAAATAAAAATTTTGGGGTAACTTTCACTCATTTATGATAGGAATGTTATTATAAATGATTATTTGAAGTATTCAAGCTGCTTGAACTATCCGTATAAAAGTTTCCTGTCTCAAAAGGAGGTTTCAATAAGTCCTTGCGTAAAACTTAAATTTACGCCGCGTTCCAGAGAGGGACATAAAAAACTTCTCTTTTGGTGATTAATTTGTTGTTACTGCTTTAAAAATAATTTCATTTACTTAAAACTATATATTTATTAAAGTATTTCTTAGGAAAAATTTTCTAGTATAGCAGAATATAAGAAATAAGGAGAAAAAGCTCCCCAAGACTCTAAGTATGGCTTGTTCTGTCAACTAATATTCATGGTAAAGTCCTATTTCAAGGAAATTTTCTCATAAAATGTATTTTGGAGACTCAATCCACTCAGAATATTTCATTATTTGTAATATTTCACTTAAATAGCAAGAAATTTTAACACATGAGAGTACTCACAAGGTCAAAGGTGCATGTACAGCTTCCCATATTAGGTGTAATACCACCATTGATTTTCCCCTATTAGTCTTTGTTAAATTTGCACTTTTCAAAACATTGTGCAGAATTTATCTTTGTTTCAAATAAAGAAATACTTGGCATGAGTAAAGTTTTATCCTGTCCAGTACTATAGAAAAAATTTCACGTAACATTTCATTGCATATAAGAAAATAACCATCACTGGAAGTTAACCAATCAAATTTTCCCCCTTTTTTAACCTGTGTACAAGCTTTAGTAACCATGTAACCTCAAGTTTCCAAAATATTCTATAGAAACCCCAAATAAAGAAATAATGGTGCTTTGAAATACCCAAGATATATGTTTATGACTCAGAAATGTTTTACTGCAATGAAATGTAGGATCAATTACCTACAACTGTCAAATTCAAGGGAATATTTTTTTTCGACCTATTTTCGTATGCAACCGGATGTGACGTAATATGATTTGGTTGTATTACACCTTGAAATAAAGAAAACGATTATTATTATTAATAAACGCTGCTTGCCGAAGTAAATAAGCATAGGGGATTTTATTCAGCAAGCTATCAAATGTGGCGACGAATAAAATTAAGGAGAAGACATGGGATAGTATCTAAACAAAAATACATTCCTCAAATACTGACGGAAAGCCATAGTTGTTGTTTTTATTTCGACTTGGGACATCGTAACCTTTAGGACTATCCTAAGACCACCCTTAGACACCTATGTAATTTCTTTTGGGACACACGCTGTTCTTATCTGATTTATATGTGATTTTTTACTTTACTCTTTTATAGATTATATAGCGTGTATATTTGGTAGTATGCCTTCTTTTGCAATTGTTTTTTATTGCTAGTATATATGTTTCCTCATTTTGTTTTTGGTTTCTTTTTATTGTTTTTGTTTGCGTGTTTGTCTATTTTGTCAACATTATTTTTTAATAATAAAATTCTTACGATGAATACATGTTCCATTTATTTGACGAAAGTCTGATTTACACCGGCATGTGAAGATTCCTCCGCCATCATCCACACATTTAGCATCAACATCTAAACAGTGATCATTTAGTTCCGTGCATAGACCACCAAGCTTTATCTCTGTATTATGAAATGAATTCACATATAAATCTTGTAACAGTGTTTCTGTCAGGTTTTTTTTTATATTTCCTTTTTATATTTTGTCAATTAAAAAAGTACAATGTAATTGCAAAAAAAACGTTCAGCAGCAAAAATTGTATCTTTGATAAATATTTGCACATCTATTATTCAATTTTAGAAATAAAAAATCGAAAAGAAATTGAAAAAAAAAGAAAGAAACTAGAGTCAAATCACAAATTGGTTCAGATATTAGCACGTGTCATTAATTGTAGCACTAAATAAATGAAAATTGATACTTCAGAGTACTATATATAGTATATCAAATATTTCTAACTAGGTTGCATACGGAAAACAGCCAGGAGATCTATTGTTGTACTCGATTCCCTTTCAATGGCCATTAAGTTGATAATTCGACCTTTTTGTAGTGTAAAGAAAAGTTTTGAATCATGATTTTATAATCAGACTAAGATTTATATGTTTTAAAAATGCCGAAATTGCTGTATTTTTGCAAACATTTCTATTAACTTATATAAGCCACTGCACAAGAATACTGACATATGTGAAACATCAAACATTTCTTTTTCTACTGACTAGATTGAGGAGGTATAGTTGATTTACAATCAGTAGCTGTAAAAATAAACATTTAATATCTGTTCTTTTAATGTAATACAACAACCATGTGGTTTTATGGTCACAGATTCCCCACCCTCAGCATAACTTTTGAATGATCATAACTGTCTACTGTTTAATTCGAACGTGACGTATATATTTATTTCTGACATTGTGTTTAATTTGTACATTTGCCATCATCCGGGAAACAATATATAAATCAGAGGCCATGTCAATGAAAGTTTCCGATGATATGTCCTAAAACATTCCTAAGATATGTCTAAGACATTACTTAGGTTGGTCTTAGGACGTATCTGAGACATGTCTTAGGATTTAAAACAAAGATATCTTGGTACAATCCTAACTGCGATTGTCCTTGGACCATCCTTACACATTTTTAATAAATAAAAAAATGTAGAGAATCAAATAAAATATATTTTAATGTATTTCAGTGTATGTAAAAAGTAAAATAACAAAAAATACTCAAAGGAAAATTCAAAACGAAAAGTCCCTTAATAAATGGCAAAATCAAAAGCTCAAACACATCAAACAAATGGAAAACAAATGTCTTATTCCTGACTTGGTACAGGCATCTTCCTTATATAGAAGGCGGCAGGTTGCATCTTTTATGAAAAACAAATTAACGCAAAATAAAGTTTTAACGTAATACTATTAAATACATTATTATATACTATCAAAAAGGATAAATAAATTTCATGCAACAACAAAACTACATTGTCACAACACTTTGTTAGAGGCTATTATTGTGCTTCATTTTATGCTATATAAACTAGATTTGCCCTTCAGTCCACTCGATTTCATTACATTTATTGAATCAGACTTAGAAAGAAAAAAAGTCCAAATTTTTCTGAAACCGAGGTGCAAAAATGTTGCTGTTATTGATAGAATGTTTCATCTTAAAAAAAATAGCAGCACGAATTATTTTAATGGGCGTAATAATATGACATCGTCAAACATACTTTTTGGGGAGTTGCGATGGGTGCCCATTTCAGATAATTTTGTGTATAGAAAAGCAATTTTAGTTCTTAAAGAACATCACCAAATGACTACGGAATATCTCAATGAATTTAAATATGTGCATCAGGTTAGTTCTACAAAAACCAGACAAAGTACTTGTAATATGCTTTTTGTGCCAAAAACTAAAACTGAATACTATAACGCTCCTTGTTGATATCTGGGAGTATTTTATGGAACAATCTGTCTACAAATTTAAAACAATGTAACACAGTTCGATCTTTAAATAACATATGTTGAAGAATATTTTGTTCAATTCTTATAACAGTATAAAAGTTTAATATTTGTATTAGTATTTTTAGTTTTGAATTTTATACTTTATATTGTACTACATGTATGTGTATATAATGCAGGACCTTATTGTAAACTAGACATCTGACTAAATATGTTATCCTGTTGAAATAAAGAAAATGATTATTATTAATTAATTCTGCTTGCCGAAGTAAATAAGCATAGGGGATTTTATTCAGCAAGCTATAAAAATGTGGCGACGAATAAAATTAAGCAGAAGACATGGGATAGTATCTAAACAAAGATACATTCTTCAAATACGGACTGAAAGCCAAAGTTGTTGTTTTTATTTCGACTTGGGACATCGTAACCTTTAGGACTATCCTAAGACCACCATAAGACACCTATGTTATTTCTTTTGGAACACGCGCTGTTCTTATCGGATTAATATGTGATTTTTCATTTTACTCTTTTATAGATTATGTAGCGTGTATATTTGGTAGTATGCCTTCTTTTGTCATTGTTTTTGTATTGCTAGTAATATGTTTCCTCATTTTGTTTTTGGTTTCTTTTTATTGTTTTTGTTTGCGTGTTTGTCTATTTTGTCAACATTATATTTTAATAATAAAATTCTTACGATGAATACATGTTCCATTTATTTGACGAAAGTCCGATATACACCGGCATGTGAAGATTCCTCCGCCATCATCCACACATTTAGCATCAACATCTAAACAGTGATCATTTAGTTCCGTGCATAGACCACCAAGCTTTATATCTGTATTATGAAATGAATTCACATATAAATCTTGTAACAGTGTTTCTGCCAGGGTTTTTTTTTATATTTCCTTTTTATTTTTTGTCAATTTCAAAAGTACAATTATATATGTAATTGCAAAAAAACGTTCAGCAGCAAAAATTATATCTTTGATTAATATTTGCACATCTATTATTCAATTTTAGAAATAAAAAATCGAAAAAAAAAGTTGAAAAATAAAGAAAAAAAACTAGAGTCCAATCACAAATTGGTTCAGATATTAACACTTGTCATTAAATGTTGCACTAAATAAATGAAAATGAAAATACTTGAGAGTACTTAATATAGTATATCAAATATGTCTAACTAGGCTGCATACGGAAAACAGCCAGGAGATCTATTGTTGTACTCGATTCCCTTTCAATGGCCATTAAGTTGATAATTCGACCTTTTTATAGTGTGAAGAAAAGTTTTAAATCATGATTTTATAATCAGATTAAAATTTATATATTTTAAAAATGCAGAAATTGCTGTATTTTTGCAAACATTTCTATTAACTTATATTAGCCACTGCACAAGAATATTGACATATGTAAAACATCAAACATTTCTTTTTCTACTTACTGGATTTAGGAGGTATAGTTGATTTACAATCAGTAACTGTAAAAATAAACATTCAATATCTGTTCTATTAATGTAATACAACAACCATGTGGTTTTATGGTCACAGATTCTCCACCCTCAGCATAACTTTTGAATGATCATAACTGTCTACTGTTTAATTCGAACGTCACGTATATATTTATTCCTGACATTGTGTTTAATTTGTACAATTGCTATCATCCTGGAAACAATATATAAATCAGGGGCCATGTCAATGAAAGTTTCCGATGATATGGCCTAAACCATTCCTAAGATATGTCTTAGGACATTACTAAGGTTGGTCTTAGGACGTATCTGAGACATGTCTTAGGATTTAAAACAAAGATATCTTGGTACAATCCTAACTGCGATTGTCCTAGGACCATCCTTACACATTTTTTAATAAATAAAAATATGTAGAGAATCAAATAAAATATATTTTAATGTATTTCAGTATATGTAAAAAGTAAAATAACAAAAAATACTCCAAGGAAAATTAAAAAAGGAAAGTCCCTTAACAAATGGCAAAATCAAAAGCTCAAACACATCAAACAAATGGAAAACAAATGTCATATTCCTGACTTGGTACAGGCATTTCCTTATATAGAAGGCGGCAGGTTGCATCTTTTATGAAAACAAAATTAACGCAATATAAAGTTTTAACATAATACTATTAGAAACATTATTATATACTATTAAAAAGGATCAATAAATTTCATGCAACAACAAAACTGCATTGTCAAAAAACCTTGTTAGAGGCTGTTATCGTGCTTCATTTTATGCTATATAAACTAGATTTGTCCTTCGGTCCACTCGATTTCATTACATTTATTGAATCAGACTTAGAAAGAAAAAAAGTCTAAATTTTTCTAAAACCGAGGTGCAAAAATTTTGCTTATATTGATAGAATTTTTCAGCTTAAAAAAAAAAGCAGCACGAATTATTTTAATGGGCGTAATAATATGACATCGTCAAACATACTTTTTGGGGAGTTGCGATGGGTGCCCATTACAGATTATTTTGTATATAGAAATGCAATTTTAGTTCTTAAAGAACATCACCAAATGACTACGGAATATCTCAATGAATTTAATTATGTGCATCAGGTTAGTTCTACAAAAACCAGACAAAGTACTTGTAATATGCTTTTTATGCCAAAAACTAAAACTGAATACTATAAACGTTCCTTGTTGATATCTGGGAGTATTTTATGGAACAATCTGTCTACAAATTTAAAACAATGTAACACAATTCGATCTTTAAAAAACATATGTTAAAGAATATTTTGTTTAATTCTTATAACAGTATAAAAGTTTAATATTTGTATTAGTATTTTTATTATTGAATTTTATACTTTATATTGTACTACATGTATATGTATATAATGTAGGACCTAATTGTAAACTAGACTTCTGACTAAATATGTTATCCTGTTGAAATAAAGAAAATGATTATTATTAATAAGCTCTGTTGCCGAAGTAAATAAGCATAGGGGATTTTATTCAGCAAGCTATCAAATGTGGCGACGAATAAAATTAAGGAGAAGACATGGGATAGTATCTAAACAAAGATACATTCCTCAAATACTGACGGAAAGCCATATTTAGTTGTTGTTTTTATTTCGACTTGGGGCATCGTAACCTTTAGGACTATCCTAAGACCACCCTTTGACACCTATGTAATTTCTTTTGGAACACACGCTGTTCTAATCTGATTAATATGTTATTTTTTACTTTACTCTTTTATAGATTATATAGCGTGTATATTTGGTAGTATGCCTTCTTTTGCAATTGTTTTTTATTGCTAGTATATATGTTTCCTCATTTTGTTTTTGGTTCCTTTTTATTGTTTTTGTTTGCGTGTTTGTTTATTTTGTCAACATTATATTTTAATAAATAAATTCTTAAGATGAATACATGTTCCATTTATTTGACGAAAGTCCGATTTACACCGGCATGTGAAGATTCCTCCGCCATCATCCACACATTTAGCATCAACATCTAAACAGTGATCATTTAGTTCCGTGCATAGACCACCAAGCTTTATATCTTAATTATGAAATGAATTCACATATAAATCTTTTAACAGTGTTTCTGCCAGGGTTTTTTTTTACATTTCCTTTTTATATTTTGTCAATTTCAAAAGGACAATTATATATGTAATTGCAAAAAAGTTCAGCAGCAAAAATTGTATCTTTGATAAATATTTGCACATCTATTATTCAATTTTAGAAATAAAAAAACGAAAAAAAATTGAAAAAAAAGACAAAAAACTAGAGTCCAATCACAAATTGGTTCAGATATTAACACGTGTCATTAAGTGTAGCACTAAATAAATGAAAATGAAAATACCAGGTCTTCAATGCAGCGAGAAATTCCCGCACCCGGAGGCGTCCTAAGTATTGTAATGAGTTATAAATTTAATTCAATGACTCATTATTATCAACAAGCAGATGAGTTATTCTAATGACATTCTTACGGTAAAGATTAATATAAAAAAATAAAACGTCCTACCTTGTGTATATGAGCACTGAAAAAAATAATTAAAAAAAAATTACTAGATAAGAACTCATTAAATCAAAAGAATTTTTGTAAAAGAGGACAAACTTACCTGTTCTACTTATTCAGTCAGATTCGAATTTATTGTATATATTTTCAATGTTCACCTTATACAATAAATAAGAATGGTAACCGTGTCCAAGTTTCATGTGTTTCAAAGGTTGATTTTTCTTTAGTAATTGTCATGCATGTGCTTGACAACATATATACCTATTACCATTTGGGATTATCTGAAAGAGGTGTTTGCCTTTCCGATGACTTTTGTTTCACACAAATAGACATCAATGGAAATCGTACGAAACCTGGTGAATTTTGGAAATTAAAATGTATAAATAACAAACTTGAAAAATATTAGATAGTTTAGCAGTCATCTTTGGAAGGTATATGCAGAAGTTTAAAGAAAAAATTATAAAACATAGCAACTTTGACATGCATTTTTTGTGTGTCGTTAAGCTTGGAAAAAATTGAAAACAACACGTTTAATAATTTCATGCGTCCGAAGCGCTTTCCTGGATTTACCTTCATCAGGAACGCTCAATGCCAAACATTTGAAATCCGAGGGATGTATAAGTACCGAAACAGTTGAAGAGCTATATGACAAAAATACCTAAAACAAATGGTCAAATTCATCTAAGGTCAACTTTGCCTGAGGGAGTTGAAACCTTAGTTTCTTTATAATTTCAAAATTTATAAACGGACAATTTTAGAAAAGTTTGTTATAAATCATGTCAGTACCGAAGTACTGACTACTGAGCTGATGATACCCTCGGGGACTGATAGTCCACCAGCAGAGGTATCGACCCAGTGATGTAAAAAATTGAAAACAACACGTTTAATAATTTCATGCGTCCGAAGCGCTTTTCTGGATTTACCTTCATCAGGAAGCTGCAGAACGAAAATCAATAGACTTGTAGCTGACAAAAAACCAAAGCATTACTTTAATTTGAATTTTGAATTGCAGAATGTCCTATATAACAGTAAGGAGATGTGGAATGGCTCCCAATGAGACAACTATCCACCAGAGTTCAAATGAAGTTGATGTATGCAGTTATAGGCAACCGTACGGCCTTCAACATTGAGAAAAACCCATACCGTATCTGTAATCGGCTATAAAAGGCCCCGACATGAAAATATAGTTCGTATTGAAATGAATAGTACAACGTAATGATTAATGACATAATGTTGTTAGAGCCTTAGAGTGCAAAGATAAAGCATTGATATTGTGAAAATAATCAACAACAACAAAGAATTTAATTGATTGGTGTTAAAGGATAAGGAAATTTTCCCTACCTCCTTCAAAATCTAAACAATTTTAGTTATTTTTTGGCAAAAACAAATGGATGTGCGGAGGAATGTTTATCTTACCATAAATAAAAGCCCACCTACAAACAGACTTCTACACATACTTTATACACAACATTTTCTGATTGATTTAAAGTTGATATCAGATAAACAAAACAAACAAAGATCACCTTAATCTCTGTTAGATATACAATTATGTAATTATGAAGATATATATACTGACATTAACACAAGATCAGCGCGTGACAAAATGAAAACAACAGTGCTTTCGCGGTGTAATGCATTTTGTCATCAAATAGAACCGTGAATAAACGCTCCGAACACCTCTTCGATGACAAAATGCCTTAAACCGCGAAAGCACTGTTGTTTTCTTTTTTCAGTTTATTCACGGTTTTTCAACATTTGAAAAATCAAACTGACGTTTATCCAACAAGTGTCAAACAATAGATGGGCTTGGTGTTTATATAGAAATTAACATTGTTTGTTTCAGGAAGTTATAGTGAGACCTGTATACAATGTATATAATTTTCTTATTAAACTTTTTAATAACAAATGTTAATAATAAATAAATTCAGAAAAATTCAAAAATAAATTGGAATTATAAGAATTAATCAAAAGAATACTGGCTGTTCAATTATAATCTGAAATAAATAACATATGGCAGCTTTTGAAAAAGTGTCTCACAGTTTACTCCTCCATAAAATACACCATTGTGGCATCCGAAGTAATACCAACAAATGGATAAAGGAATTTCTCACCAACAGAACCCAAGTATTAATGGTTGAAGGCGAAACATAGACGAAGTGAAAGTAGAATCTGGACTACCACAAGGATCAGTCTTAGGACCCAGTCTCTTTCTTTTTTAAATTAAAGACCTATACCATAAGGCCCACATTCAACAGTGAGACTGTTTGCGGACGATACTGTTGTCTATTTGACCATTTCCTCAGACAATTACTGCCATAAACTCCAAGAAGACCTGGATAAACTTGCAAAATGGGAAAAACTTTAGAAAAAGGAATACCACCCTGAAAATGCAGCGTCCTCACAGTCACGAAAAAGAAAAATCCAATCAAGTGGGACTACAAACTCCACGGCCATACTCTGTAGCATGAAACATCGACTTAATATCTGAGCTGCACCATCGCAAATGATCTAGATTGGGGATAACTCATAAACAATATCACAGGAAAAGCCAACCGAATCCTTGGTTCTTACATCGACATGCATTGATCGAAACCCCCACATCAGTTTAAAATCCATCAAAGAGCATGCCTATAAAATATCAGTAAGACAACAAATGGAATACGCAACGACAGTATAGGACCCGTACCAGCAAAACCACATAGATAGAATTGCAAAAGTACAAAGACGAGCTAGCTCGCACGATATGTAACCATCAGACATGGAAATATATCAAGTGTCAGCAATATAAATAAATGAATTAGGATCGAAAAAATAATAAACAAGACGAAAAGACGCTCGACTCATCATGTATTACAAAATGACTAACTTAATAATTTACCAGAAATAATTGAAATCCAAAACGTCACAACAGTATTTTCCGGTTAATGATTTCAAGACTTTATAGTGTATTTTTCCATCAGTGTTAATATTGATGATTATTTTATATGATTGTAAAATAGGTTCGTTGTATATGAGTGCACTTTGGTGAAATACATATATTTGTTATTCTAATAATGTCTAAGTTTGTGTTTTTTTTCAGCTATCAATCCGTCAGATCATTCAAAAGTTTGTTATTACCTGGATTCACTGTAACTCCAATAACAGGTAAAATTCATTTATCCCTATTGCCAAAAAAATCACATTTCTCCAACGAGAAATTATTTATCCGTCTACAAAAATATCAAATGTTGGAGAAACGTGAAGACATCGTTCGGTGCTGAATGAAAAAAACATGTTAATATCGTCCTTCCCTTCGTCTGTAACATCCTACTAAGTGCACGGTCGCTTATTTTGGCAAACAGATTAATTTTGACTATTATCTCAGACAAAATATTTTCGTTGTCCAGTGTCATGTTGTTCAAAGCGACAAAATTTGCTGGTGGCATTGGACAAGATGAATTAGGGATCTTAGCACAAGAATGATCATTCTAAACGAACAACTAGAAGTGTGTGCAGATGGACACTATTCAGTTCTCCCGTTCTACAAATTGAGTGTAACAAATAAATTAAAAAGACTTGCTAGGAAATTGTTGAAGCATCTGTCCACAGAAAAAATACTCTTATTAATGAGTGACGTAGGAGCTGTCCTTTCTTATATCAAATTGTGTGTTCCAAGTGAAAGCCATCAGGCACTTGTCTCCGAAAAAAAATCCTACATACCTTACTCGTTATATTATTAAGGTATATAGGACATATTTTTTTTCAGAAACAAGTGCCTGTCACTTCAAATAGTATGTAATAATTACGTTCATTGTATTGTATTGTATTGTATTGTATTTTTCAATTTTCAACTTTATTTGATCACTGAGACACATTATATACGTGTTACAAGAGGAATACAATATTTACATATATACAAAAAATACAAAACAATGGTTGGTATGAAAAAAAGATAAAAAAAAAAAAAAAAAAAAAAAAAAGAATACAGTATTTTCTTAAAACTTTTACATTACGTAGTGATAATAAGCCAATCATTTTTTGATAACATGGATATCTAGTAAAGTAACAGGGAATATGTTTATTTCGTATGTCTACGACTGTCGGAAACTGACACTCAAAAAGGTAATGAAATTCAGTGGTAATTCCTATATGACGTAAGTGGCATATTCTTTCTTCTTTTGGAAAGTTCTTCCATCTTCCCGTTTCTATTGGTATTTTTAAATTACAACACCTCAGTTTTGTTAATAATTGTCGTTCTCTTGGAAATAATTTTAGAAGGTAGTTTTCTAGACTAAATTCTAATGACTATACCATTTTGGATAAACTGATCTATGAGCCTTTGTTTTACAGTAACTTTTAATTGGACTGAATGTACTGGAAATTAATGAGTCCATACATAGCTAAGTCCCTTGTTATCAAAAATAATAGACTTTAAATGATTGATCTACTTAAAACTAGCATTACCTGATTGACTAAGCTTATACATTACTCTATATAATACACTGCTTAATTTGTTTTGGTTGCCAACACGTTTGTTCCAAAAACTAACCATTTTTAAATTAACAGCTACTTCAATTGGAGCTCTGCCAAGTTCACTATAAGACATGAAATTAGGCGTAGTTGTTCTTAACCTAATTACGTTTCTACAGAACTGTAGGTGAATTTTTTCTACCATCTAATTGTTTTCGATCTCACACACTTCACACCCCTACGTCAGGCTGGGAAGTATGAGGGTTTCGAATAAACTAATCTGCAAATCAACAGGTAATGATATGATACGTATTTTTCTATATAAACTAAATAGTGCTTTTTGTGCTTGCTCGACTATTTTTTGCCCATCTAGGGGCATTATGTTTTTCGGTCTGTGCTTCCGTTCTTTCGTCCGTCCGTCCGTTCGTCCGTCTGTCCGGCTTCAGGTTAAAGTTTTTGGTCAAGGTAGGTTTTGATGAAGTTGAAGTCCAATCAACTTGAAACTTAGTACACATGTTCCCTATGATATGATCTTTCTAATTTTAATGCCAAATTATAGTTTTGACCCCAATTTCACGGTCCACTGAACATAGAAAATGATAGTGCGAGTGGGGCATCCGTGTACTATAGACACATTCTTGTTTTTCTTAGCTTTAGCAAAAGAACCATTATGATTTAAAGTTACTCCTAAATAAGAGTAAGAATCTTCTATGTCCAGATCATGGTCAAAAAGTTTAAAGGTTGGGTTATGTTTGGATTTCCTCTTGCAAAAAAATACAACTTTGGTTTTATTTAAGTTCACTTTCAACTTCCATTTCGTACAATAAGCTTCAAAAATATCCAAAGCGTTTTGTAAAGACTCCAGCGTTTCTGCTAGAATTATGGTGTCAGCCGCATAAAGCAATGCAAATATTTTGACGTAAATATCCAGATTATCAAAACATAGACTTTCAACTTTTTCTAAACTGCAATTATCATTTTGAATAAAGAAATCTTCTAGGCCATTTAAATAAAGTGCAAATAAGATAGGAGACAGATACTCTCCTTGCCTTACTCCTATGTCACACCTAAAGAATGCAGAACATTTAAGACATTTAACACAAGATTTAACATTATCATACAAACTATGCAGTACTTTGAACATTTTCTCAGTTATATTTGCATTTTGTAACTTAAATCACAATGAGGGTATTGTATCGAATGCCCTTGAGAAATCCACAAAGGTACAGTATATTTTTTGCCAAGTGACTGGTAGATAGAAATTAAAGCATTCAAAGTGAAAATATTATCAGTTGTGCTATAGCCTTTTCTAAAACCTGTTTGAGCTTCTGTTATTAATCCTATCAGGCGCGTAGCTGCCTTTACGCAAAAAATCATTTGCTTGCACATTTTTTCACCAAAAAAAAAATAATTCTGAAATTGAATAACGGATAGTCTTTAGTCTTTACAGATTATCGTGTCGGGCGGTGTTTAAAGCCCAAATCTCTGATGTCGTCTGTAGCAGTGACTAATAAGGAACTATATATCCTTCAATATTCGCAATCTTCTCAATTCTAGTTGCAATGCCAGTAACTACATCAACTACTGAACGGTCATTTAGTGCATTAAAGCAACAGAAAACTTATCTCCGTTCAACCATGGTACAGGACAGACTATCTTCGTTGGCGCTCATACATGTTCACGAAGAAATGGGTATCAACACCGAGAGAGTTCTGCGATCATTTGCCTTGGCAAAAAATAGATATATGGACTTTCGATATTAACTATACTTTAAGTCTTACATGCAGTATTAACATTTAATAATACAGGCTCAATACAATCACATTGAAAACATCTTAGATTTATATCCCTTACTTATAAGTCAAGACTTAAAAGTGGCCGTTATATTTCGAATTCCCATTGTCCGTTCGTCCAAAAGACTATTGATTCACCTGGGGTATCTGTGTCCCAAATGACCTTCTACCGTTGTCGTAGAAACCTCTCCTTTGATTTGAGAATGACCTTCGTGAGACACACTACGGGTGTCTTGCAAGAAGCAGGAACTGCTTACCCTTTTGGAGCACCGGAGGTCGCCACATTTTTTTCTGGGTCCGTGTTTTTCATCTGTATTTAGTTTTCAATGTTGAATTTTTTTGTTTCTCCTTTTGTGTCTTATCTGTTCCCGGGTTTGTCAATTGTCCATTGATTAACGCTTCGGTTGTCGACTCTTCCTGATCTTCCCGTTTTATAAAATTTATTTTATATTTGAAAATAACCATGTTAATAATATAAGCAGCAAATTACGGAACTCACTAGACTTTTACTATCGTTTCATGAAAATATGGTATAGTAAGAAACAGATAGGGTATTTTTCATGTTCAAAGCAGTCACTGTAATTACTCATATGCCCGGAGCTTCATGGAGATTCGCTTCCCTGGACCACCGTCTACGGTGCTGCACTGGATCCCCGACTAGGGTGTTAACCTGGACCAGCTGGGGACATTGAGTGGTCCATAGCCTCCTCCCTTTCCGAATCACTATAAAGTTCACAAGTATTCACAAAATAGGAGTTTGGGCGTGAATGTGATGTGAATTTCATAAGCATGGCATACCGGGAAAATGCCCGAAAAAAAGTTATCATTTTCTGCATAAAATGGTCCAAAAAAAATTTTCCCCTCGCTTCGCTCGGCGATTGCTATGATTGCACTTTATGTAAGTCCAGCTACGCCCATGCCTATCTCATCTGACAATTTACTAGTCTTTCATTCAAGATAGCATTGACTATCTTACACAAACAAGACACTAGTGTGATATGTCTATATGCACTTGGGTCATGTATATTACCTTTATTTTTAAAAATTGGTAGGATAATACCTTCTGACCACGAGTCTGGTATTTTCCCTGAATCTAATATTATATTAAACAATTTACAGTATATTGGCATCATAAAATAAACAGTATTTCTAATATGTTCGTTTACAATATTATCATACCCAGAGGCTTTATTGTTTTTAAAATTTTTCACAACAGCCAGAATTTCGTCCTCTGTAATTGACGAATTTAGAATATTCTCAATATTCTCTGGAGGAATTTTATCGAAATCAATACCCATCAACATCCTGATTTAAATTTTCAAAATATTCATAAAAAGTATCCAAAGTAACCTTGTCATTATAACTAGACTTGGATTTGTCAGTATTGTTTAAAATTTTCCATAAGCCTTTAGGATCAGTCTTAGATTTTTGTCTCAGAGTATAAGCAGTTTTTATTAGATAATCTTGAAAGTGCTCGTTCATCTCTCTTTTGCGCTCTCTACTTGCCTTCTTCATTCAGGTTTTATTAAGCTGACTTTTTAAATGCCCATATATTTTCTTTTGGGTCTGTGAAAAATCTTTCTTTTAGATACGCATTTTGTATTATACCAAGGTTTGTTTTAAATTTCCTATATTTAGAATTTTTACATGCCATACCAAATACTTTTACATGTAATGATTTTTTGAACATATCATCACACAAATTATTAACAACTGTATCAATATCAGACTGTAATATTTTGGTTTTGAGAGTAACCCACCCAATTTAGTTTCTATTTTTCTAATATATCTTGCTTCATTTACTCTTACGTGTTCTATAAATTTTGTTTTCTTGTCACTATTCCATCTGTACAGCAACATTGTATTGTACCGCAGTGTTCTCAAACACGATTTACACCTGTTTGTTACCTGTAGACTAATGTATAAATAGACTTTGGAAAAACATTTATAATTTATTGCCCGATATTATTTATTGCGGTAGAAAGAAATTTAAGGAAAGTATTATTTTATTTCTTGTCAAGTTGTCATATTTAGATTGCAATATTTAAAAAAAGTTTTGTATATTTTTCAAATTATTTATAGACATTTTAGATACAAAGCTATAAATAGATAATGAAAAAATCCAACGGCTATAAATAGAACAGGTGAAATTTATTCAATTCCGCGGCGCATTTTGTTGTGACATGTTTGAGCCAGCTGTGGATTTCTAACAGAATAATATAAATACAAGTTTGGTGCTTGAAACTGAAAATGCAGTCCAAAATCAGTTCCTCCAAGAACTTCGAGAAAGAAAATAATCTCGGAATTTGTTTGAAGAAACCGTTTGCATATTCATATGCAACACTTGCAGCTAGAATAAGGTCATATTCAAATTGGACACGAACTTCTCCAAGGCCAGTAGATCTGTCTGATGCAGGATTCTTTTATGCAGGTAAGCTTAATGGGCATCTTTGTTTTTTAATCATTTTTCAGCAACAAAGCATAAATTTATACTTTATTTTTAAGAAAAAGGAATTGTACATTTTCCATATTACGGAATGGTGATCTTTCGATTCTATTTTTATATACAGAGGTCACTGCCTCATTGAAAGCATATCTTCTTTTATTTTTACTATTCTGGCTTCTAATCGTATATTACTTTCTGTTGCAATTTATTTCAACAGAGTTTTACCCAATGTCAATATTGGATACTGGGCGATGCGACGACTAATATATATTCATTCGTGCATTAACCACGAGGAAGACTATATAACTCAGCTATATAATATTTTTTTTAGTATTAATTTATGCTTGTGTTGTACAGTGTTTAAATATTCATATTTGTGTGCATTTGATTGAGTGTCCTTTAAGCACCTGCCCTTGGTGACTCCTGCATATGGACAACAACACTATTTGTCCATATGCATCATCCACGAGAAAGGACTTAAGCTATTTTTATAATGGATGTGATGCTGCTTCTGGTGCATGGTCAATAAACACTAAACATTATGGTTTATATGGCTATTTATATTATTAACTCAATTTATATTTCATGTTTGAGTTGTTTTTCTTGTGTATTGTCTATATTGCAATTGTTTAATATAAAAAAAAATCACTGTACTGATTAATTTATGCCCATAATGGTTCCTCTATTGGAAATAAAATTTATCGTATCTTATCTCTTATTCTTTCCGTTTCGGAGCTCTCGGTATTATAATCAGGTTTAAATGAAGTCATGTTGTCCAAAACTTGATTACGTTTGCCAATGTTCGTGTTCACGTCTTCTTGGTTTAGATTTGCCTTTGTTCGTGTAATGTTTTTGATAATTCAATTTTATAGTACCTGTTTGTTCGGAAGTTTCTTACACATTGATGAGTAAAGGTCTAAAATCATTTTTATTTGTTTTAAGATTTATGAAATCACCATTTCTGTTGGAAAGGAATCCACAAAAAAAATACAGGATTAACGAGAAATTAATAGTAGTCCTTTAACAACATATTATACAGTATTGGTTTTGCTCATTGTTGAATGCTATGCAATGAACTGTTACTTGTTCACATCTTTGTCTTTTGGTATTAATTGATACAGTCGTTCCAAGTTTGTGTATTAATACCAACATTTTTGCATTGTGTATATTATTGTTTGTTTATATGCCTTCAACCCCTCGAGGTATAAATAAATGTGCATTTCTTTAATAAATAAATAAATAAAAAACATAACTGATATCTAATTTTTCAAAATAAAGTATTGTATTGATATAATATTTTTAAAGGGAAACAAGAATTTCTTTTTATAAGTTTCAATTCTATTTCAGGACCAGAAGATGTAGTCCAGTGTTTTTATTGCGGATTAAAACTGAAAAGTTGGGATGTATTCGATAATCCTTGGGTTGAACATGCTAGACATGGGAAGAACTGCCCTCATGTCAGTAATGTGAAAGGAAATCAGTTCTATAAACAGATAAATCAGGTAAAATATGAAAGTTTCAATCCTATTTTATTTTGATACAACCCCGATTAGTTTTTCATATTATTTATGTAATAATGATTTTACGAAAGTGGTTTTAATTCTTATAAAAATAAGGAGATGAGGTATGATTGTCAATGAGACAACTATCCACCAAAGTTCAAATAAAGTGGATGTAAGCAATTATAGGCAACCGTACGGCCTTCAACAATGAGAAAAACCCATACCGTATAGTCGACTATAAAAGGCCCCCGACATGAAAAATATGAAACAATTCAATTGAGAAAACTAACGGCCTAATTCATAACAAAATTTACCAAAAACAAATATGACAGACATGAACCAACGACAACCACTGAACTACAGGCTACTTACTTGGGACAGGCACATAAAGAATGTGGCTGGGTTAAACATGTTTGTGAGCGCTCAACCCTCCCCTAACCTGGGACAGTGGTGTAACAGCACAACATAAGAACAAACTATAAAAATCAGTTGAAAAAGGTTTAACATCATCAGATCGATACAAAGCAGAAAAACATCAAACATATAGACAGTTGCTGACAGCCAGATCAAAGCCAATAACAACTAATAAAAAAATCATGTATCGAAGACTAAAATATCAATCAGTACACATCCAACATTCAATGGATTTAGTGTAAAGACGTCATTAACAGTCAGAGAAAAACATGACGTTGTGCAATGCCAAAATAAAGGTATCGACAGATTGCAGTACCGTTAAAGTGCATATTTGATAACAAAACTATTATTAAAGTATCATGATTTTAATTTACTGATAACAAAATCAATATTTATACCAATAAAAACAATTTTCAAAGATCTAATTACAGTGTTGAATTTGTAACCTTTTAGAATAAGTTTGTTTAAAGGATTAGTTTTAACATTTGATTTAAGTTTTGTGAATTGTAATCAGGTCTCTCTCTAAAAAATAAAGCTAACAGGACAAAAAATAAACATTTTGTCGATGAACCATTTACCACTGTTTTAATTTCTATAAGAAATATAAGGATTAGAACAAAAGTATTGGGCACCACATCAGACTGAAGCAACAATCAACACTCTTCCCTGGTGGATTTGAAGGATCACGAGACGTACAAGTATGTGGTTCTTTGCAGTTGGCAAAAACAATGGAATAATAAAATAGAGAATGGAAATAGGGAATGTGTCAAAGTATCATTCTTGATTGATATTTTCGCCCTTTGTATTGCTCTAAATTAAATACCAATTTAGGAATACACGCTAATATGTCCAAACCAGACTCCTCATCAGTGACAACACACACACACACACCAACAACAACAGAGTGACTGACACAATAAACGATACTTGCAAATATTGTGGTTGTTTTCTAATAAATCATCGCTTTGGTTTTTTTACCCTAGGTCGAAGAGGATGGACCTGTAACTAAACCAGGTAATATACACGTTTATAAGTTTATTTGCATAGATCGTATATTTGTTTTATATACATTTATATGGAAAAGGGATATAATGTATTATAATTCATGACACAAAATTCTATACATTGAAGTGCTTTATTTGATCACTGTTTGTCGGCTCAAAGACACTAGAAGTCCTTAACATTTCAGAGGTATTCCTAGCGTTTCTTTTTTCGGTCTTGTGCATCCTTGGATTTGAACTGTTCAGCTTTGATCGCCTGATGAGTGAAAAAGAAGAAAAGCGCTTCGAACGAATGTAATTTATAAAGTGTTGTTTTTATATATTTTTTTACATATCAACAAAAAACGGAAAATACATATATAAACACATTGAGGAAAGTTCATTAAATACAATATTTTAATATGATTACATATATGATATTCTAATTCCTTTAATTTTTTATGATTTTTTTTTAATTATTTCAGTTACAAATCGATGCCTTTATTCCGATGATTTGATCAGTACAACAGCAGCCCAGGCTCTACTCAGTATGAGATGTTACAAGGAACAAGATATTATGGACGCCATCAAATTGTTTGTAGCAGAAAAAGGTAGAAATTTACGATTCAATATTTTATAGGAGTCTAACCACGTACAAACATATAATAAGATTCACAGAATAACATATGAACAATTAAAACATTTACAATGTATGCACCGAACTTAAAAAAAAATAATGAGAGACTTCGTCTGGCTGACAAAGTTTTAATCCTGGTATGATGATAACAGTTTCTTTATACAAACGAAGTTACTTAATTAAAGGAGATTTAATAAGTGTTCCTTAAAATATTTTTTTTCGTATAAAACCAGGCGAACGAATTGATATCGTTTAAAAATTTCGAGCTATTGACTTAAATGCAAAGATTTTTTATATTAATTTAAAGGGTACCGTAGAATACTAGAAAACCCATTAGTTAACGTGAATTCATTATGAAAAAAATAAACAAAGTTCACAAATCATCAAATTATACATCATTTATTAAAAAAAAATGTATGTATGCACAGTAGTAAGAGCAATTATTTGGCCATCGAAATTCCGGTCTTGTTAACTGATGTAAATGTTATTGATACTTCAGTCTGATCTTTATGATTTCGATGTACTACTAAACATAATAGACATGTCTAAATTCATATAAAATAAACATAGTATGGCAATTTGGCATATATTCTGATTTAAATTTTAAATCAGCATATATAAAATAAATATATATCATGTAAATACGGATATTTGACCGGATCACGTCTTTTGAACATCCGGAGGATATTGTTTGATGTATTTATTATCCGTTTTATACACCCGCCGTAGTGGAGGGGACATAAGTTTTACCCTTGTCCGTCTGTACGTACGTACATCCGTCCGTCCGTACGTCCCAAAATTGGTTTCCGTTCTCTAACTTTAGTTTGCCTCAACCAAATATAATGAAACTTATACACAATGCTTATTACCACAAAACACAGATCAAGTTTGAATTTTGGTGGCGTCACTTACACTGTTCTAGAGTTACGCCCCTTTACAAATGGAAAATTGCTAAATTTTTCGTTTCCGTTCTCTAACTTTAGTTTGCCTCAACTAAATGTTATGAAACTTATACACAATGCTTAATACCACAAAATACAGATCAAGTTTGAATTTTGGTGGCGTCACTTTTACCGTTCTAGAGTTACGCCCCTTTACAAATGGAAAAATTGCTAAATGTTTCATTTCCGTTCTCTAACTTAAGTTTGCCTCAACCAAATGATATGAAAATTATACACAATGCTTATTACCACAAAACACAGATCAAGTTTGGATTTTGGTGGCGTTTATTTTACCGTTTTAGAGTAATGCCCCTTTACAAATGGAAAAGTTGCTGGATTTTTCGTTTCCGTTCTCCAACTTAAGTTTGCCTCAATCAAATGTTATGAAACGTATACGCAATGCTTATTACCACCAAACTCAGATCAAGTAAAAATTTGGGTAGTGTCACTTTTACAGTTCTTGAGTTATGTCCCTTTATAACATTTATATGCAAGCTGGGGAATCATCTGTGTACCATGGACACATTCCCCATTTTGTTTTTTTTATATTTTTGTTTTCTCAAATTCTACAATTAATACTTTTCGGTATGACAAAATAAGGTTAACTAGAACAAAACAAAAAATCCGTGGCAGGCGTATTAATACCACTCAGTTTAATTAATAAACCTTTTTATCCATTTGTTCTCGTTATATATATATATATATAGGTGTGAAGAATTTGCCACTGGATATCGAACAAACAGCATTTATTCAATAACCGCAAGCAAATAACTAAAGTACATCCCGAAAAATAATATTTCTATACACTGCATCTGTTGTAATATGATATTTCTTCTTCTGAGGCAGTTAAATGTTAATATTTAAATCGGATTGCTGAGCTTTTGAATAATACAAAAAAAAATAACCGTAGATAGTGGATCGCACGATATACGATTGTGGGATCTGTTTCTCCGATATTTTAGTCGATATGTAGGCAAATGTCTACAGAATAGATAAATCAGAGGAAAGCAAGAAAATTCGACGTCATATTTGAATTTTGAGCAATGAAATGTTCTCCTTAATGGTGGTTTGATTTTAAATATATAACAATCTCATCTTTAAAATTATGGTATCGAATGTTGTACATGTCTGGATCTGTATATACCTTTATAAATCGTTTTACAATAAAAAGTCAACCTAAAATCTGCAGAATACCTTGTTTTATAGTCACAAAAAGTCATGCACAGATGTGTTTTAATTTTCCAGATACACTAGAATTTACTGCAACAGACATTTTATCTGTTTTACTAAACAGCTCGTGTAGATGAAACTATGTTCTGGACAAACAAAAGGTACGTCCAAAACTATTTGAGACTCGATAGTGGCTACAAAGTAAGGACTTTCATATATCTCATTTCAAGTCCTCTTCGTATGAATTAATATTTATGTAAGTTTCAATTAGCTGATCTACTCAATATTTTAATATGTATGATCTTTCCAAGTGCTGAAAAAGAATGTTATCTGTTTAACCGAAAAAAAAAACGTGTTAATATATATGTACAAACTGAAAAAATAAAAAAAACGTAATCTCACATTGTGAATTGTAAGGCATCAATGAGCATTACAAAGTATCTGTGTACAATATTTTAGTCAACCTTGGTATGAACGAAAAACGTTAAACAATATGTCATATCAAACAAACTAGATGATGTAAATGGCAATAATTAAATAAAACTTTCTGACTTGGCGCTGTCATTGACTGGCAGTATATTGACCTGACATTGCCAATGTTACCTACAATGCATTCTCAGTTTTATAATTCCTGACTTTGCAAGGTCAATGGAACATAAGTAAGCTATTCATGTAGGTTAAACTCATAATAAGGTCAAGTATTTTTTCTGTTTTATTTCAGGTAGGAGTAATTCCAACTCAAACGACTCGGAGGTTTCTTAGTATATTAGTCAATACTCAGAAAACAAGACGTATACAGTGACAGTAAATTGACTGAATAATCGGTAATATCCCAGCACAGTTGTTCTTTATATACAGTTATAATACCAGTATTGACAGGAAAAGGAATAGACTAGAGGTTTCACTAGAGATACAGTTTGAGAGACAAGTGTTAACACTATGTGAAGGCGATATATATTTATATGTATATATTATGAGTTGAAGTTAAGTTTGTAGAATTAAACGAGGTTCAAATGAATATAGTATTAGATAAGAATACAAGGAGGTAAAGGTAAACGTCAATGGAATAGAAACCCAACAACACAAAGAAAACACGAGTCTACAGGTCGTAAACAATATCAACATACCTATAGAATAATAATTAACGTACCAAAATTGCTAATAGTCATTCAAAGGGTGATTCATTTGTGGAAATCCTACAACATCGTCAGAGGAGATATAAATCATAAAATTATGTAATGCACTTTTAAATGTCTAAACAGGGAGATACCTTAATAATTTGTAGTGTATTCCGTTGTCAATATCAAATTTAATTTCTTTCGTGATCAGAAAGTATGTAAATAAATATTCATTTCGCCATGTTTACTGATAGATTAGTACAACATATACAACTTTAAAATGCGTAGCCTTTTTTCGTGTGAATCACATTTATATGGATGGATACTTAACATGTTAAGTTGTAGATCGCCCCAAGTTTATATAAATTTATAAATGAATTGAACAGAGATGACACAAGACCTGCAATTATCAACATTCATTTACCGATGAAAACAATAATATACAAACAAAGACCAACACTAACGAGGTTCATGGTCGGTTTTTTGGCTGGATATTAACTAACCTTTCTCAGTTCTCAATCTTTAACTTTTTTATCTCTGTCATTGGAACATTTTTTTTTTTTCAGTACAGAAAAAGAGTATAACAAAAATACCAAACTCAAGGCAAATTCAAAAATGACAAGTCCATAAAAACTGACAAAATCAAACAATATTAAATAGAACAAGCGAAAAAAAAAACTGCCATATTCCTGACTTGAAACAGACATTGTCCGACGAAAATGGTGGGTTAAACCTGGTTTTACAGCTGGCATGTGGAGCAGAATATGCTTACCCTCCCGGAGCACCTGAGATCACCCCTAGTTTTTGGTTAGGTTTGTGTTGCTCAGTCTATAGTTTTCTATGTTGTGTTTTGTGTACTGTTGTTTGTCTGTCAGTGGTCTTTTTCTGCCATGGCGTTGTCAGTTTATTTTCTTCTTATGAGTTTGAATGTCTAAAATTTGTCCCTTTGGTATCTTTCGCCTCTCTTAGCTAAACCTCCCACGTATATGACAGTTGTTTATAGTTCCGTTATATTGACAAAATAGGGTGAGCAACCCAAACAGACGTAATAGGTTTATGCGACAATAATTGGGATCCAACAGCCAAAACTGTGTACATATACATCACAGATATACAACAAAACTGACTAAAAACCCTGAATATGACAATAACACATATATAACTATAAACAGGGACTAACAAATGGCAGTCAATGCTGTCACTGAAAGTAGGTTAGATCTACTCAATCTAAGGGTATAAAAATCATGCCCTCATACTCAGTCGTACTTCCATGATTCATATATCCAGCTTTGGTCCAATATGTTCGTTTTGATTGTGACCATGGTTGTACCAACCATTGTAAATGTTCTGATTAAACATTTGAATTTCCCATTTACTCTCTAAAAAAGCAAATTAAAAATTAAAAAAAGCACAGCCCCTGACTTAGATCTTAAGTGTTGTTTATGTAACGATGGCATAATCATTGTAAATGTTCTGAAGATAACTATGTGAAGAAATTTTCAATAGATTATATAAATAAATTATGAGGATGTCTTTCCAACATTGTCATCCGATACGTGGCAGTTGCGTTCGACTCCAATCTTAATTGACGCAGATTGTCGGTTTTCCTTCCGAAGGAGTGTGTTCTTTCCGGGAATTCCGGCTGCCTCCACCAATAAAAACTCACCGCCGCAATATATAGCCAATAGTCCTTAACCAACAAACAATCATTGATACTTATCGAACATCATTTTTTTGTTCATCTTAAAATACTTTTCAGTGCAGTTGTTGCATGTGTTTACACGCCATAGCTTTGAACAATAAAGAACTCTGGAAGAGTAAGCTGCATGCTCTTGTTTAATTGTTTATAAGATTTGCTCTCTCATTGGAATGGATCCAACGTATCGGTTTATTCATACTGATGGTACTGAATTCAAGGAAACGTAACCTCTATATTCGATAACACATTAATCCCTAGAAAGCACACGCCAACACTTCACCTTTAAGAATTTTTCTAGAAATGTTTACTGAAGGATTCTATTTGCCCTGTACCTTACATAATTTAAGTAATCAGTTGAGGCACGGACAAATCTGTAAACAAATACAGATAAACTTCATAAAACTGCAAACAATCTTCTCTTCTGTAACTTAAAAGGGGACATTAAAAAAAAAATGGACCTTGAAAATTAAAATTGGAGGAAAAAGACATTTTCGAGAGGTTGACTGATCTATGATATATCTTTTTTTTTTGTCCGCTCAGAAAAAAAATCTGAAACATTCAAAACTATCTAACATGACAGCTAGCCTTTAATTCAGGGGTTGCCTTGTATTGCTGTCTGCCATATTTGTTTTTGAGTATTTTGAGTATTTAATTGTTTTATTATAGAGCAGGCTGTTAACTGGTGTTATTGTGTGAATTCTTGCTGGGACTTTTTAATTCATCTAGGCTTTTGTTTGTTTTATTTATTACCTGTACGTAGAATGTATCGAAAGGGTTTGATACCAAACTAAAAAGGTCAACATTCAGTTTTAAGCAACATTTTTATTAATTCAACTAGTCTCTAAACACACACTAATGTCTGTCTATAATTTTGGTTATTTTTTCACTTAAAATGTGTCTACCATATATCTTCAGATAAGATGTTGTGTTTTATCTATAATTGTGAATATACACACAAACCTCTTATCATGTCTAGTGTATCCTAATCTTTGTCACATTCTACAGTCATTATAAACGTCTATAAAACAGATCGTTATGATGAAATGGTATGACGACTGTATGTACATGTGTATTGGTTGTAGAGCTTCTTTAACCAGTATCGAGTAATCTCAGCAATGCCTTACTGTTGTGTGCGTTACTGGTGTACGATCTGGTAACGGTACAACCGTGACGAACGGCTTATAGTTTCATGTTAAAAACTATTTGCAAGCTATTACGTAAGGTCGATCCACGATATCTCCATGTAATTATAAATTTGTCTGCTGTCAATAAATGGTGTACCTCTAGCTTTAACGGTTATTTTATCCCCAGGTGTGACTTTAAATTTCCTATTCATCTGTACCTGCTGTACAACACCCGGCGGGAACAAAGCAGGTGTGTACACCGGTCGATTTTTTCCAACTCTTAATTCTACCATAAATATAGTTGGGACAGTTCTTCTTGTATTCACTGTGATACCAATTCTTATATCGATCACGGCAGTTATTAAACATGTTATTGCACTTGTGTTGTCGAATGTAAAGAATTGTAACGCCGCAGATTTGCTCTGCGGAAAAAATTGAAGAGCCTTCTTTTCGGACTCTTTGTAAGTTTTAGGCGGATTCAGTAGATTAAATTTCTGAACCACTTCAACAAGTTTATGTTTATCTACTTCAGCATTTCCTGTTGGTGCGGAACTAACATACGGATCATTGAAAGCAAGACACCATATAACAACTAACTTTTTTGACAGGTGATAGTTAGTTCTTCCAATCATTTTCTGTTAAAGAAAAGTAAATAATTATTTATCCATTTTCATATACTCTCTATTGACGTCTTAACAACAACAAAAATACATGCTATTTTAGGATGTTTAAGAATTCTTCTACAATCAGTATAAATATAAATTTTCTAATCTTGATTCTTCTTTCTCCATTCCAGAATACTTTATGTTCAAGTTGCATTTGTACCCGTGAAAATTTTCCACGTCGAATATAGTCTTTCCAATTGGAAAGATACCACGTAAATTTAATGTTTGTCCAAAACTAATTCGACCGAGATCTACTTTTTAAATTTAACTTTTATTCAAGGAATTTTCAAGTATAAATATGTAATTAAATCTCAAACTTACATAACATAAATTATAGAACATGTACAAACATAAAATCGTATCATACAACCTTATGTCGTATTTAAAGTTGCATTCCTCTTCTTGATTACAACCTTCATATAGGTATTTTACTTTTAATAGCAATAAACTGAACTGATGTATCTATGTATACCTTATGACATCGGCTTATATTTATTCCTATTACTTATGATTAAAATTAAATTGGGAATTTGGACTAGCAGGCACCTGGCAGCATGTGACATAATGCAGCATGGTACGATATGAGCCATTAATACCAACATCTACCTTGGGTATTTTGTTTACGTCATTTATAAATGTTATGTCTTTATGCTTTCGCATGCACGATGGTTGTTTGTTTTATTTAAATATAGAGTTGCAAAAACCTTTGATACCACTATTAGACAACGGAATTTGAATGTCTAATTTTACACATAAAGTTCAGATAACAATGAATACATGGAATGGGTCCAAGGGTTTAAATAGACACAGAAATACCACAAATTAAAGCGCTGCTCCTTATTAATATGATTGTTTTTATTTTCGTATTTTTGTTGTCTCCTATATACCTTACCAGAGATCAATTCTTTTTTTCATTACAGTAAGTGTTTAAATCCGGGTGTTTATCTTTTTATTTATTTTTCACCTTCGCGTTTAAAAAACAACATATGTTTTGCTTATTAACAAATATCATATAATCCAAATTACCTCAAGACAATCTCATTCATCTTAGTCACTGTCATGATGTACAATAAAATAAACTTAATATCGGAAGTCCATTACCCTAGTTATGGACTTTTGATAACATGTGAAGGAATACCGGCGATTATATCTGAGCAGTTTGTCCCATGATACATGAATGAATAAATGGAGAATTGGACTTTGTGTTCAGCTAAATCAATAAATAATAGTTTATTAGTGTACGCGTGCAAAGATAACAAACAAGAAGCAAAAACAAACTCACCTGTAAGATAATCAATTAATGGCACCTTATGTAGTAAGTTAATCTATAGATTTCACCTTATGTAGGTGTTTTCAATTGATACGATTGTGTCCATAGTAATAGCATTTAAAAATTTTCATTTATAAATAAAAGGTATTACAAATCGCACTCCTAATATAAAGCCTTGTAATATGAATTCTAAAAGACATATTTAGCATAATTATAAATGGCATCTAAAATATGTGGGAACTGTATGAGCGAAAAAAACCCAGAGCATAACTTGAATATTTTAATGTAGGTTAAGCATAACATATCTCTATACACTTATCTGTTATTTTTATACACTTAAAACCAATGTTCTATTTAAGGGTGGATTCATTGTGCTATTAATAGCGAACGAAATATAAAAGTTATTCAGGTAAGATTTCAAAAATTAACAATAAGAAAATTCAAATTTATTGTCTTATGCATCAATATCGATTTATAAGCTGGTCGCCTTCAAGGACGTTCATTCCTGTTCACTAACAAAACTTATGCTGAAAGGGTGTTTGGCTTTGTGGGATGCATAAGTGCACAACCACGTCCAGTCGAAATATGATGTCTCGTGCAGGGGAAGTGCCACTCTGTACTCAGATTTTATGAACCAATGCATCTTCTTCTTGTGTGTTGTCGCTGCAATGCAAAATCTCTGATCCTTTCCAGTGTGCCCTCTTTTTTCTGTTTTGTATGAAGTTGGAATTGTTAGTAATATGTTCTAGTCCCGAATGAGTATGATATATTTGCGTTAGAATAGGCAAACCTGTGTGGTATATTCATTTGGTAGATCTGCGTCTGTTGGCGCTCTACTTTCATAACATACTTTTAATCTAATCATTACATTGGTTACACGTGTCACACAATTCATTGGAATACTGTAAACAAGCAATGTAAGGTGTTAATGATACATGTAGCAACCTAACGACTGAAGATATCTAGAAGCCAATATACGTATATACTTTGTTATAAACTATGATCGATTCAACTATAAAAAAAGAATAAATACCTTAAATACACTGTCTGCTTTGTCTTATACAAGTTGAACTTGAACCTGCGTATAAGTTCAAAAACAATCTGATTAGGTTTCATATCAACTAGTATTTTCCTTAGATTTATGTTACAAATATATAATAATCGACTATTCACCTGATATTGTTGGTGTACAAGTGGGGAACTGGATATCAAGTAGAGACATAAATAGTCTGCACTTGCTGCACCGTCGTATTGTATAAAAACTGACAAAAAAAAGAGATACTAAAAACTTTGCATGCTATAGGAAACATCGGATAAATATAGATTCTACCACTGCATCATGTCGAATGTGATACGATATTTATCCACTCGAGACAGTTGAATTTTCAAGTTTAAAACGCAAGGCTCACCGAGCGTTATATATATTTAAACTTTAACTGTCGATAGTAGGTAAATATCGTACTGCATAAGATTTGATGGTGGAATCTGTTTCTCTAATGTTTTTAGACGATATGCAGACAATCTTTTAAAATCCTTCTTTTCGAACTACCTGCAAAAAGATGTGTTCTTTCTATGTGATGTCATCAGGCATGATCGCCTTTTTCCATACCGTCACAATAGGAATTTCAGAGGAAAGCAAGAACATTTGACGTCATAGTCGAATTTTGACCAATGAAGAACTGAGATCAAACGAACCACACGTTGATTAAATAAAAATAATCAACGGATCAGGGAAAGGATAAATCGAGTAAGAATTAGAGAAATATAGATTCTACCACTGCATCGAGTGTGATACGATATTTATCCACTCGAGACAGTTAAATATTTAAAATTTAACTGTCGAGAGTGGATAAATATCGTATTACACGAGATTTGGTGGTGGAATCTGTTTCTCTAATGATTTTCAAACAATACGCAGGCATTTATTCCTTCTTTTCGAATGATCTGCAAAAGATGTGTTCTTTCTATGTGACGTCATTAGGCATGGTCGCCTTTTTTTATGCCGTCACAATAGGAAATTCAGAGGAAAGCAAGAAAATTCGACGTCATAATCGGATTTTAACCAATGGAGAACTGAGATCAAACGAACCACACGTTGATTAAATTTTTTTTATACAATGGGTGCAGAAAGGGATAAATTGACGAAGAATTAGAGAAATAGTTTTCTAGCTTTTGAATACCTTAGACAAAGGTTAATGAAATAAACAATACTTTCCGAAGATTTTACATTGTTTTTAGAAAGAATAAAATAAACGTATAATGATAGTTTTGTTTATACTTTTTTATATAAATAATTCATTTCTGAAGATTTGTGTCATACTAAGATATTTAACTGTCGCTTACAGGAAATTGTGAAATTATATGACACACGAGAAGGTATATACAGTTAATTAAAGAACAAGAAGATGTGGAATGATTGTCAAGGAGACAACTACCACCAGAAACCAAATGAGGTATATTCCGTATTAAAAAATAAATTGATATTTGGTAATTGTGCATGACACGAACAACAAATCGGACGTTAATAAAAACGAATTTCTTCAAACACAAAACAGTTCCATACAAAAATGAAATGTAGAAACAGCTATATTTTCCAAAAAGAAGCCTCCGCGCGGTTATTTTTATGCTGATTACATAATGCATTTATGCGCATTTCAAAAACCTATTTCTAAACGTTAAGTGCTCAAATCCATAAATTAAAATCCTGTAAAATGAAATGTAATAGAAATATATGGCAAGCCGTTTTACTATTTATTCCAAATTCAAGATAACTCATATAAGATATCTTATAAAATCTAGTTTTTATAAGATATCTTATAAACTTTATAAGATATTTTAAAAACTTTATAATATATCGTATACACTTTATAAGATATTGTAAGATATCTTATAAAGTTTATAAGATATCTTATAAATATTTTTTATGTAAGATATCTTATATACTTTATAAGTTTACCGTGAGTTTATGCGTATCCCATCTCTAGCTAAGGGTTTCAATTGAAGGTTATTCACTTGCAAGTTGAATAATTCATTAGCGATGTTTCTTAGCTTATTTTGACAAAATTGAACCAAACTGGCTGCTAAAAGCAAATTATTATTTCACTATTTCACTTTCATTAATGATTGAACAAAAAAAATCATATTTTATTTTTTGTTTTTTGTTTTGTTTTTTTTTTTTATCTCGTATGCCCCTTTAATAAGAGTGTAAAAAAGTTTAAATAAACTGTAATATGGGATTCAGGAGAAGTTGCGGATACAAAACAGGTACCGGTACCACAAATGTCTACTATAGTGTGCAGATATGACGAGGTCCATATCATCTAAAAGTAAACAATGCAAATTATTCAGATAAAAAAATATAAAGTGCAAAAGAACATTAAGATTAAGATTAGATTATATGAAATTTTCATATAATTATGTCCAGCAGTTCAGGAGCAGTTGCGGATACAATAGGAACCGGACGAACAAATGAACGAAAGAACAAACGGGCGGACGAACGATCTTTAGAAAGCGGGTGTATAATAACTAGAACAATATAAGATCTGAATTCCTCTTTATTGCATTGTGGGTTAATTTAGTAACAAAACGATCTGGTTCAGTTCAGTAAGACATCATTATTGTCGTGAAATAGAATTTCTTTAAAATATAATAAAAGTTCTAAATGGTAGAAATATTCTGCAATATTATTTCTGCTGGAAGAAACTTTTATTTGTTCGGAATTATGTTATATTATGTTATTATTATGTTACCAGATGAACTTCCATTAGAATGAACATATACACATTGACACAACAACCCTGGCTATTAGTTCGCATGAATTTATAAATTAACTTACAGGAATGTTTTCTAACCTTTAAAAATCGATACATGATTTAGTTTGTTATATCATTATATTAGTATATAGTAAAGACATGACGTCTTTTGCAATAGAAATATTACAGACCTTGAACCGGCAGTGAACTTGTGTAAAATGAAGTTTGCCATGATTTGGCCTAGTTTAATGAAAAAGTCCCAAGAAGCCATATTTTGTGGAATCAGTGTGACATAGCGTTTCATATGACTCCAGGAGATATTATGAAACCAGGAAGTAGCAAATCAGCCCTATTATTTCAAGCGAATATACATAGAAACGTTATATTTTTGGAATCGATATAAAGTAAAATTTTATTTAAACATATGTGGTTTTGGAATTGGTATAAGAAAATAAATCTTATGACACAAGAAGTTACCATTCTTCACCCTTACTATCTTATAAGAAAGGGTAGTTTTGAGGTGCGAAGACTTTCAACATCGAACAAAAGGTTTTTATTGGTTTTGCTTTTTTAGCTCACCTGAAGGGTCAGGTGGTCCTTTCTCATCACTTGGCTTCCGTCGTCTGTCGTCGTCGTCCGTCGTCCGTCGTCGTCGTCGTCGTCGTCGTTAAATTTTACAAAAATCTCCTCCTCTGAAACCACTGGACCAAATTAAACCAAACTTGGCCTAAATCATCCTTAGGGTATCTAGTTTGAAAAATATATCCGATGACCCCGCCCACCAATCAAGATGGCCGCCATGGCTAAAAATAGAACATAGGGGTAAAATGCAGCTTTTTGCTTATATCTCTGAAGCTAAAGCATTTAGAGAAAATCTGACATGGGCAAAATGTTCATCATGTCAAGATCTATCTGCCCTGAATTTTCAGACGAATTAGACAACCCTTTGTTGGGTTGCTGCCTTTAAATTGGTAATTTTAAGGAAATTTTGCAGTTTTTGGTTATTATCTTGAATATTATAATAGATATAGATAAACTGTAAACAGCAAAAATGTTCAACAAAGTAAGATCTACAAATAAGTCAAACATGACCAAAATTGTCAATTGACCCCTTAAGGAGTTATTGCCCTTTAAAGTCAAATTTTCACAACTTTTCGTAAATTTTTGTAATCTTTTACAAAAATCATCTCCTCTGAAATTACTGGGCCTAGTTAAAGCAAACTTGGCCAAAATCATTCTTAGGGTATCTAGTTTGAAAAATGTATCCGATGCCCCTGCCCACCAACCAAGATGGCTGCCATGTCTAAAAATAGAACATGGGGGTAAAATACAATTTCTGGCTTATATTTCTGAAACTGAAGCATTTAGAGCAAATCTGACGGCGATAAAAATGTTCATCAGGTGAAGATCTATCTGCCCTGAAATATTTAGACAAATCGGACAACCCGTTGTTAGGTTGCTGCCCCTGAATTGGTAATTTTAATGAAATTTTGCAGTTTTTGGTTATTATCTTGAATATTATAATAGATAGAGATAAACTATAAACAGCAAAAATGTTCAATAAAGTAAGATCTACAAATAAGTTGACATGACCAAAATGTCAATTGACCCCTTAAGGAGTTATTGTCCTTTAAAGTGAATTTTTCGCAATTTTTTGTAAATGTTTGTAATCTTTTAACAAAAATCTTCTCCCAAAATTACTGGCCTAAGTTAAACCATACTTGGCCTAAATCATCCTTAGGGTATCTATATTAAAAAATGTATCCGATGACCGCACCCACTTACCAAGATGGCCGCCATGGCTAGAAATTGAACATAGAGGTAGAATGCAGTTTTTGGCTTATATCTCTGAAACTAAAGCATTTAGAGCAAATTTAACGGGGTTAAAATGTTCAACAGGTCAACATGACCAAAATTGTCAATTGACCCCTTAAGGAGTTATTGCCTTTTAAAGTCAATTTTTCACTATTTTTCGTAAATCTTTTTCATCTTTTACAAAAATCTTCTCCTCTTAATCTACTTGGCCAAATGGAATTAAAACTAAGCCACAATTATTATTAGAGTATCTTCATTGGAAAATGTATCCGATGACCCTGCCCTACAACCAACATGGTCCCCATTGGTAAAATTAGAACATAGGAGTTTACTATAGAAGTCTACAATGGGATGACTTGATTAATTTTCCAGGGGTGCAATTTTTTCAGGGGGGGTGCTAATAATTTCTCCATGATATGATCCATTTTCAGAATTATCAGTGTTACTTTTTCTATAAACCATTATTATATCTTTTCTTTCAGCATAAAATTGAGAATGGAAATGGGGAATGTGTCGAAGAGACAACAACCCTACCATAGAGCAGACAACAGCTGAAGGCCACCAATGGGTCTTCAATGCAGCGAGAAACTCCCGCACCCGGAGGCGTCCCTCAGCTGGCCCCTAAACAAATAAGTATACTAGTTCAGTGATAATGGACGTCATACTAAACTCCAAATTATACACAGGAAACTAAAATTTTCGTATTCATTATAAATATCTGTGGAAAACCCCACGTGTATTTTTAATAAACAGAACTTCTCATTCGTAGATGTCTGCTGCATGATAATGGAATACGGAAAAACCTGGAAAACTCAAGGTATGTTTGAGCAAAATTGAACATTAAAATTTCCTGAAAATGATGCACTTAAAGGAAAGTAAACAAAAAACAAATAAGACAAATGGTAGGAGTCAGCTTAACGAAAACGAAAGTTAAGAAAGTGTAAAATTGGTATAAAAAATAAGCACATTCTGTCCGACTTTTGAAAGTCATCATATTGGCCTGTTATCTTGGCTATACTTCAATTAAATCATGTAACATTTACCATGTTTCTACAAAATAACGATCCTCTTAAAATAAATTAATAATTTAAACCGTGATAAAATTTGACATCGACCTCATCATTCTCATCTGAATAAATCTCCGAGACGACCAAAACAAAGCTATGACCCCTTTAAACACATTAGTGAAAGAATATATTGGATGTCACAAGACAGTAATCAAAAGACACCTACAGACCACCATACAACACAAATCATAGCGGAAATGAAGTGGCAAAGTGAATTTGATTTACGACCAAAAAAACCTTCTCAATTGAAATATAATTTTATATATTGAGTGTGACAGTTCAATTTCAAAAAGTAGACTGCCACTTACACTGGAAATACATACAGGGTAATATACAAAACAGACAACACCATGACTACAAAGAAAAACGACAGAAAGACAAACAAAAGTCTACAATTCACTTCATAAAAACAGACAGAAACTAGAACCCCAACAAAAAACCAGAGGTAACCTCCAGTGCTCCAGAAGCTTAAGCAGATTTTACTCCACACGTGGCAACCATCGTGTTACTCATTCCAAGTACAAATTCTGCGTTAGGTCTCATGTTGGTGATGTCACTATCAAGGAAATTATGACAGGATTTTGCAAAGACAATTGAAACTTATCGGTTATCATCGGTGACACAGTGGTATCTTAACGGTCAACTATCGCATGAAAACGTCCATAAAACCTTCGAGGAAATGACTTAAACTTTACTGATAGAAATTCTTGGTTCAGTAGCTCTCCTTGTTTAACAGCAATCTTGCATCAAGGAAATCACGATAGAAAAGAATCCTCTTTGATATCGTATCAATTTTGGAGACATATACCCTATATGCAGATGATGCTGGAATGTTGCTACATAGATGAAATGGAATGTTAACAATTGGAAAGCTGAACCGTCCTATTTGTCGTAAAGTTTCTACATAGTGGAACGTGAAGTTAAAGGATGATTACCTTATTTTCATTTTTCCGGCGATGCTCCTGTATGAAGTCAGCCTCTTGTGAAGAAAGAAACAAGTCAGCAAAGTTGGTGGACTATACGGTATGGTGTTTGCCAATTGTTGAAGACCGGTTACACATTTGAAAAGAGTAGCTACGTTTTACTTCTAACGTAATCTTCGACTGAATTTGTTAGTTTTTTAAAGTTGAGTTTCCAGCTAACGATATTTAGACTCTTTGTTTAACATATTTGTCAGCGAAGAGTTGTTGACAATATCTTTATCACCAGTTATAACATGACCAGTTTGGTTAAATATGAATAGGGAAGTTGAACAGGTGCATTCAAGAGGATTAGACTTGAAGGCATCAATATTGATAACCTACAATATGTGTTTGTAATTAGAATTTAGGCGGCCTTGTACTTTAATTTCAAAACCAAATTCTCATACATTATTATGGACTGAAATACGGGTCATTTTTGAACATTAAACAAAAGTCTCTAACTCATGGAGTAATATTTTAAAGGTTTCAATATTTATGCCCTAAGTTATTTGATCCTCTTTTGAAATTTGAACACAATGACATAGTGGACCATAAAATACAGGTCAAGTTTGATTTTGATGATTTTTGCATTTGTTGTTTTAGAGTTCTACAAAGTAACCTTACATTTTGTCTAGGTAACAATAGAAATATTGTTTTACAGTTTTATTTAGATTGTGACATTTGTTTTTTTTTCTGTAAGCGGGAAATCTGTGATCAAAAGATTACTACATTCTAGATTTAAGCTATGTTATAAGTAACAGAATTCGAGGTCGTGACTTTTCTATCTTTATTGTCATCAACAAAACTATTATCATCATATTTTTTTTTATTATTATCATAATTATTAATATTTATCTTTTTATTTCTTATCAGATAAACCATTTGTGGCTGCTCTTTATTCTGACGATTTATGTCATACCACAGCCGTCAAGTCTCTGATGCAGTATAATTACCATACAGTAGATATAATGGAAGCTGTTAAACGTTTTATCGACTTACATGGTATGTTATTGTGGAAACGACTTTCAGTTTAAGATAACTTTGTGTTCTTTAAATCTCTCTCTATATACTGGACAAAACAGAACATTCTAGAATTTTAATTTTTCATAATTTATCTTTTGAATAACATTCTTTTAGAAACTTCTATTCTTTCAACTTTTCAATCATAATATGATTAAGGTTTGTATACATTTCATAATATCCTGATTTTTTGGCAAACTCTTAAACAATAACCTTGAAATATATATTTCTTACCGATATAACATGTTACTTTTATTATTCTTCCCTTAGTTTATCTATTTTGTATTTACATTGTCTCATAGGTCAAATTTATTTGTTCAGTGTATGTTCAATGGTGTTAATATGTCCTTTGATTGAGTTAAGCTATTTCAGTTGATATTTTATAGTGTGTCTTTCTACGTTGTGATGTTACACTATTGTTTCAGAAAAAGGGTGAAGGTTTGGTACCATTAAAATGTTTAAACCCGCTGCATTTGTTTGCACCTGTCCTAAGTCAGGAATCTGATGTTCAGTAGTTGTCGTTTGTTGATGTGGTTCATAAGTGTTTCTCGTTTTTCGTTTTTTATATAGACTAGACCGTTGGTTTTCCCGTTTGAATGGTTTTACACTAGTAATTTTTTGGGGCCCTTTATAGCTTACTGTTCGGTGTGAGCCAAGGCTCCGTGTTGAAGACCGTACTGTGACCTATAATGGTTTACTTTTATAAATTTTGACTTGGATGGAGAGTTGTCTCATTGGCACTCATACCACATCTTCTTATATCTATTTGACCGCGACACACAACACTGTATCTTGTTAATTGTTTACTTATAGGAATTTCTACACAAATATCACTATGGTATGATAATTATAAGCACAGTGGCTATATTTCGAGCTTAGAGAAGTGAAATTAACCTTCATTTTCATTTAATGAAATTCAAATTAGAATTTATATCAGTCTCACTTTCTTAACCAATATTTTATTTACAATGTTTATCTCTGGAGCTGTGAATTTGACATTCTTTGGATAGATATTCGGACGCATTTGTCATCTTTCTTTTTGAATCTTTTTCCGATTGATTGATTGCTGGTTGCTTAAGTCTAGTGTAAAATATTTCATGCATGTTCAGAACGACCTCTCTTTTTTTCCGACGAATATTATATAATTTATAATTCAGGTCACACGAATTTCAGTGCAGAAGATCTGTTGAAATTAGTTATGGAGAGACATAAAAGTCAGTATTCAACGTCTTCATCGATGTTGCACATAGAAACGGATTGTCCAGAAACACGAATACCTATTAACAAAGAGGAAGGTATGAACAATAATGTTTTCTACAAACTTTTGATATGATTGGCCCCTTCCTAAACCAAGATATTTGTGTCTATTGGTTTTTCTTTTTTATGATACAAAGAAATTATGACTATTCTGTTGTGTTCTTCCAATTCAGTGAAAGAAATTGTAGCAATTTGTGTCGGTTTTTTTGTTGGATGTTTTTTTATTGTATAGTTTTCCTTTCCTCAACTGGTTGGAGAACATTTGAAGAACAGTTCAACATTCAATAATTGGATAAAATGACTTATACGAAATGAAAGAAATTGACGGATATGAATATAAGACAATTAAAGCATCACAAGTGTCATACAAATGATATGATATGATTTCCAATGAGATTATTTGTCAAGGAAGTACGTTCGTGTGGCATTATCGTGATATAATTCTCTATAAATTGAACTGGTTTGATTAACTATCTATCTATTTAAGACTAAATCACTAACAGATAAAAACATTTTAAAGAAAAAAAAGGTATTTAGGCATCACTTAATTTTAGATTAACGCTTCCAGGTTTATTTTTCTTATCATTTGGAATAAATATTATATAAATTGTATATTACATACTTTCAGACACAGACAGTATTCTTGAAGAAAATAGACGGATTGAAGAAAGTAAACTTTGCAAAATTTGTCTAGAAAATAAAGTGAACATTGTGTTTTTACCGTGTGGACATATCTGTGCTTGTTCAGACTGTTCACCAGCCATTCGTAAATGCGCCATCTGTCGTGAATTCATAAAAAGTGTAATGAAAGTAGACGTTATTTAATCAAGGAAAGTGCTTTTTGCTGCTTTAAAAATGTAGATATCCTCACTTTATTTTTTGTTTTATTTTCCCTTCATCTTATATGACTATAACATAACTGTTAATGTACAATTAATGTTTTCTTTAAATGTTATTTGTAGCGTTTTGCATAGTCTATGATTAGTCATGGAAATAATATAATAAATGGAAATGGAATTTAAACTGCCTTACTCTTAATATCCCTCCACAAGGGTCTACATAAAAACTTTAATTGCTGCTAATAATGCATGATCATGTTGTCTTATGTTTGTACTGTGTATTTAGATCAAGTTTTTGAACCTATATGTATGTAGCCTTCGGCTGTTGTCTTCTCTATGGTAGGGTCGTTGTCTCTTTGACACATTCCCCATTTCCATCCTCAATTTTATGTAATGTGTGTTTAGATGTTTAATAAAGTTTTTGAACCTATATGTATGTAGCCTTCGGCTGTTGTCTTCTCTATGGTAGGGTCGTTGTCTCTTTGACACATTCCCCATTTCCATCCTCAATTTTATGTAATGTGTGTTTAGATGTTTAATAAAGTTTTTGAACCTATATGTATGTAGCCTTCGGCTGTTGTCTGCTCTATGGTAGGGTCGTTGTCTCTTTGACACATTCCCCATTTCCATCCTCAATTTTATGTAATGTGTGTTTAGATGTTTAATAAAGTTTTTGAACCTATATGTATGTAGCCTTCGGCTGTTGTCTGCTCTATGGTAGGGTCGTTGTCTCTTTGACACATTCCCCATTTCCATCCTCAATTTTATGTAATGTGTGTTTAGATGTTTAATAAAGTTTTTGAACCTATATGTATGTAGCCTTCGGCTGTTGTCTTCTCTATGGTAGGGTCGTTGTCTCTTTGACACATTCCCCATTTCCATCCTCAATTTTATGTAATGTGTGTTTAGATGTTTAATAAAGTTTTTGAACCTATATGTATGTAGCCTTCGGCTGTTGTCTGCTCTATGGTAGGGTCGTTGTCTCTTTGACACATTCCCCATTTCCATCCTCAATTTTATGTAATGTGTGTTTAGATGTTTAATAAAGTTTTTGAACCTATATGTATGTAGCCTTCGGCTGTTGTCTGCTCTATGGTAGGGTCGTTGTCTCTTTGACACATTCCCCATTTCCATCCTCAATTTTATGTAATGTGTGTTTAGATGTTTAATAAAGTTTTTGAACCTATATGTATGTAGCCTTCGGCTGTTGTCTGCTCTATGGTAGGGTCGTTGTCTCTTTGACACATTCCCCATTTCCATCCTCAATTTTATGTAATGTGTGTTTAGATGTTTAATAAAGTTTTTGAACCTATATGTATGTAGCCTTCGGCTGTTGTCTGCTCTATGGTAGGGTCGTTGTCTCTTTGACACATTCCCCATTTCCATCCTCAATTTTATGTAATGTGTGTTTAGATGTTTAATAAAGTTTTTGAACCTATATGTATGTAGCCTTCGGCTGTTGTCTGCTCTATGGTAGGGTCGTTGTCTCTTTGACACATTCCCCATTTCCATCCTCAATTTTATGTAATGTGTGTTTAGATGTTTAATAAAGTTTTTGAACCTATATGTATGTAGCCTTCGGCTGTTGTCTGCTCTATGGTAGGGTCGTTGTCTCTTTGACACATTCCCCATTTCCATCCTCAATTTTATGTAATGTGTGTTTAGATGTTTAATAAAGTTTTTGAACCTATATGTATGTAGCCTTCGGCTGTTGTCTTCTCTATGGTAGGGTCGTTGTCTCTTTGACACATTCCCCATTTCCATCCTCAATTTTATGTAATGTGTGTTTAGATGTTTAATAAAGTTTTTGAACCTATATGTATGTAGCCTTCGGCTGTTGTCTGCTCTATGGTAGGGTCGTTGTCTCTTTGACACATTCCCCATTTCCATCCTCAATTTTATGTAATGTGTGTTTAGATGTTTAATAAAGTTTTTGAACCTATATGTATGTAGCCTTCGGCTGTTGTCTGCTCTATGGTAGGGTCGTTGTCTCTTTGACACATTCCCCATTTCCATCCTCAATTTTATGTAATGTGTGTTTAGATGTTTAATAAAGTTTTTGAACCTATATGTATGTAGCCTTCGGCTGTTGTCTTCTCTATGGTAGGGTCGTTGTCTCTTTGACACATTCCCCATTTCCATCCTCAATTTTATGTAATGTGTGTTTAGATGTTTAATAAAGTTTTTGAACCTATATGTATGTAGCCTTCGGCTGTTGTCTGCTCTATGGTAGGGTCGTTGTCTCTTTGACACATTCCCCATTTCCATCCTCAATTTTATGTAATGTGTGTTTAGATGTTTAATAAAGTTTTTGAACCTATATGTATGTAGCCTTCGGCTGTTGTCTGCTCTATGGTAGGGTCGTTGTCTCTTTGACACATTCCCCATTTCCATCCTCAATTTTATGTAATGTGTGTTTAGATGTTTAATAAAGTTTTTGAACCTATATGTATGTAGCCTTCGGCTGTTGTCTTCTCTATGGTAGGGTCGTTGTCTCTTTGACACATTCCCCATTTCCATCCTCAATTTTATGTAATGTGTGTTTAGATGTTTAATAAAGTTTTTGAACCTATATGTATGTAGCCTTCGGCTGTTGTCTGCTCTATGGTAGGGTCGTTGTCTCTTTGACACATTCCCCATTTCCATCCTCAATTTTATGTAATGTGTGTTTAGATGTTTAATAAAGTTTTTGAACCTATATGTATGTAGCCTTCGGCTGTTGTCTGCTCTATGGTAGGGTCGTTGTCTCTTTGACACATTCCCCATTTCCATCCTCAATTTTATGTAATGTGTGTTTAGATGTTTAATAAAGTTTTTGAACCTATATGTATGGATGTAACAGACACGCAAATTAATTGAAGTTTTAACACTTGAAAACATGTAAATACTATGTTCGTATTTGTTCAAGTGTTGGTCGTGTACGAATTAAGACATTGATAGGTTGAACGTCATTTTTGAACTACGGAAACCTCCCACACCATATGGAAAGATCTAAATCACTCCGAGTATATGGAACAATTTTATTAATGCGAATTAGTCCATTTCTTTTTACTTTTTGTGGGGCCATATATTGGCCTTTAGACGTTTTCCATATACAATGTCTCTCAATAGTTGGTGTGTGATGTTACCTCCAGGTGTTTTTATAACTTTCACATTGCTGCAACCGTAATTCCTGTACTGAAACAAAAAGATACGAAACTAACGGTAAATGACATAGATTTGTGTGAAATAGCAAATCAAAACATGGTTAAACCGTATCATTTATCATAATGATCATAGGTTGTTAGACAATACAACATAATTTCATGGTTCTTGTTGTGTCAATTTTAGAGCTTTTTTCGTTAATTTTGTTTATCTTATCTTAGTTCTTCTTAATTGTCAACCCTAGGCACAAACATAAAGCCAACATGCCACATTATTTTATCTCAGTTCCTCTTTATCTCCATAATTATATAGGCACAGAAAAACGAAATACTTAAAACGTTGTTGTTATACACCCTTGATATCTACACAAATAGAATTAGGAATAACCAATGTTTGTCCGGTTATAGTGTATTGATGCAGCCTGACAGATATGAAAAGGAAATGTCAGTGAGACAGAAACACAACGACAACAATGATCCAAAGAGAACATTCATAGATTATCTTACTCTTATGTCTTTTTTCTGTGTACAACCTTGACATTGACACATCAGGAAGAGGCTATTTACGGAACAGTATCCGGTCAAACATCCTTTCTGTTTATTACAGTAGGTATAACAGCTTGGTGGATCATCCGGGCACCCATTGTTGCCTATAGCTGCATGTACACCTACAATAAAACGTTATAACTTAAGATTTAACATGTAATTTGTAGGCATATATGATGACCTTGTGTTTATCTATCCCATGTCATTGCTCCGACATTTTATAAACGAAAGATTATTTTATGCAGAGCGGAATCATTAAATCGTTTCGACCAGTTTGAGTGGTATGATTTATGGGTATTAACATTATGGAGTGCTTTTCATGAGAGAAATTTATATAGTTATTGTACATCGTCGAACATTATTTAGGGGCCTCAGTGGCCGAGTAGTCTCAGTAGTTGATCTACAGTTATCACTAGCCTCTCAACACTGAGGTTGCAAGTTTGAATCCTGCTCGTAGTAACGTGCGTTCAAGATTCGACCAATCTTAATTGACTAGGATTATTAGTTTTCCTGTCGAAGTTCGGTGTTTTCCCCAGTACTCCTGCTAAATTTCTAAGTACACCACTAAAACATGACCACCATGATATAGCGACTGATAGTGGCGTTAAATTAATCAGAGGAAGGCAGAGTTTTTGGCAACACATTTACACTTTTTAATTTATTCATTAATCTTGGATCAATTCCACTGCTGATGTAATGTAAGTCAGGATAATCTTTGGACTTCAGTGTGATTTATTACGTACATTTGCATTAGTTCTCAGCTAATAAAAGTACATTCTCTGTACTCAGATTGTAATTAAAACATTTTATTCAAAGACAAAATCTGAAAATCATTCAAGGCTATAACTGGTAATTAAATTCCAAATATTTACATATTATTGCTGTCTCAGCATCATGGTTTGTGAGTTTGAAAGATAGTCCAGAAACAAAACGGTTGTCCTGGTGTCGCTCAGTTATAATTGTGTCCAATTTAATCCTTATTATCATTGTCAAGTTGTCCTTCGGTTGTCATAATATTTTTTGGTTTATGTTCTTTTTTTTTATGCATGATAACGAATGTTAACTTCTGTAGCAATAACAACAACAACAACACTTTATTTTAAGAGGGTTACACAGTTAGCTATATAACTAATCTTCCCTGAGGCCCTCATCATAGAAAAGCATAAACAAATATGCAAACATATACATGGATACATTAGTATAAAAGTCAAGTAGAATGATAATGTTTAATACTACTGCATAAAATGTTATAAAAAAATAAACATGATGAAATAATTAATATTCAATATTTTTTCAATTGGTTGATTTCAATAAACGATCTGTTTTTGTATTTTATATTTGAAAGAATTAAAAATTGTAATATTTCGTAACGATAAAGGCAAAATGTTCCACAAGAATGGTCCAGAATACATAAAAGATTTCTTGAACAATTGGATATTTGGTTTAGGGAGTATGAGGTTTCCTTGAACTGCATTTCTCGGGGGATATCCCCGTC